CATACTCTGTTTATATATCAACCAAACAGACCACATCGTACCATAGAAATAGAAAACAACATTTACACAATATTTAACAAGCGAAACAATTATCGGCCAATAGGGAGTGGACATTTAAAGTCCAAGGTCACCGTTAGACTTAACATGGTAATTATTGGTATATTCCTCTGCATACCTAACAGTACCATTAATGAGGGTGTGGACATATGCTGTGTTAAACAGCAAATGTAAGAGTTATAGTCTCTAAATATAGGCTGCCCTCAAAAGGATGCCAGAGGTTTTCAGATGTCTTTTACCCATGGTTGTAAGGTTCCTCCAATTTTCGAGTCCCGTCCGACGCAATATTAACAGGCACGCGCATGGATGTCTTCACGATCGTTACTCTCACAGTAGAGAATGACTTCTTCGTATTGTCCTCCAACTTAATGAGTTTCGCATTCCCACGAAGTCGTCTTGTTAAAATTCTAACGACAGACACGCAGTACCATATGAACGTTCTACTGAAACTTATCAGTCCGTCGAACGTACGTGATTGCTTGACCGTGATCTGACCAGCAAACATGATGGTGGGGAGATAACTTCAATCCACCCATGTCTGTAGGGCAGAACATTTTGTTTAATTACGGCTCCTTTTGGTTTCGTGGGATGTCACGAACTTAAGGTTTTAATGCTGATTTATCATGCAAAATACCTCTTTAAATCGTGTTACGAAAGTTGAATTGGTTTCACTTCCTACTCAGTAATCCTATTACAAGCAAACTAGACAATTCGATTCGACATTTCTGAATGTTTACAGTAATGAAGTGTTTTTGCAATCGTACTAAACCAAGATACAAATGATGGAGATGAGACTCTTTGTCCTGACTTGCGATCAAGCGGCAATATATACATACATGTACGGGGCTGACACCTCGAAGGATGTCATCAATGGGTATCCAGAAATTTTTTGCAGCATTTCTTAAGCTGAAAAGCATGAAAAAAATTAGTGGAGTTCGAGGGAAGTGATATTAGCGGTTTTTGAGAGGTCGTTTGCAGCCAAGAGAATTTACTTCAGCCAGATAGCTTTTCGGAAAAACTGTTGTACCTTTTATGGTAGCCGTCAAAACCTGAATGTGAGTCAGGGGTAATGATCGAGAGTGATAACGAGAGTTCGCTACCTCGTCGACACTGGTGCAGAAGTTAGCGTTCTCCCAGCGAATTCCAACGACCGGGCTTCACTAATTGGCTTCAAACTTACAGGCGGCAAACGGAAAGCCTATCGCTACGTATGGCAAAAGGTACGTTTACCTTAAAGTGAGTTTACGCAAACCCATTCACTGGATCTTCGCTGTTGCAGATGTTTCTATGCCAATCAATGGTATGAACCTTCTACAACACCATAATCTAGTCATCGATACTCGCAAACGGAGGCTAGTAGACGGAAACACTTTATCCGTTTGCGTAACTTCTTTTTCTGGTCGCAGATTATCCCCAGTCACAGTTAAACATACGATAGACCTACTTTATCAACCACTACTCAATAAGTATCCTGGGATACACCAAACGCAACCGAAATTGCCATGTGTAACCAACAACGTTACACATCACATCACGACCACATGACCACCTGTATTCTCGAAATCCGGCCGACTAACTCTTGGAAAGCTGAGGTTGATCAAAAATGAATTCGACCACATGATAGACTTAGAAATCGTACGACCGTCAAAGAGCCCATGGGCATCTCCGTTGCAGACGGTCCCTAAAAAGGACAGCAACGATTGGCGTCCAACTGGCGACTATCGGTTATTGAATGCGAAAACCATTCCCGATCGTTACCCGTTGCCTCACATTCACGATTTGACAGCTACCTTGTAAGGTTGTAACAGCTTAGGTTGGTTGATACAATTGTACAACCGTCTTTTCGAAAATCGACTTGGTTAAAGCGTACAACCGAATCCCTATGGTTACAGATGATATACCGAAAACAGCTATCATTATTCCCTTTGGACTCTATGAATTTTTACGAATGCCTTTCGGTCTAAGAAACGCTGCCCAAACATTCCAAAGATTCATAGACGAGGTTTTTCGAGGTCAGAAATTCGTACATGCGTATGTTGACGACTGCCTAATCGCAAGTTCGGACAGAGAATCGCACCTCCAGTATCTGGATCTTGTTTTCGACCGACTATAAAAACATGGCATTACTGTAAACATTCAGAAATGCCAAATCGGGACGGACTCATTAGAATTTCTAGTACACACTATCGATGGTCAAGCCATTCGACTCCTTAGGAATAAAGTGGCGGCCATTCTGGATTACCCAGAACCGACCACGATCAAGCGATTACGCACGTTTAACGGCCTTGTAAGTTTCTATAGACGTTCCATACCGAAATGCGCATTAGTTATGAAACCTTTTACCGATCAACTTCGTGGAAATGCGAAATTCATCAATATGGATGACACTGCACGAAAAGCATTCTCCACAATTGAGGAACTTATCGCTGAATCAACAATTCTTGCACGCCAGGACACCGAAGCACCCATTAGCATCGCAGTAAACGCATCCGACTCAGCAATCGGAGGAGTCTTACAACAATGGGTTAACAACTCCTGGCAACCTTTGGCCTTTTTTTCTAGAAGGTTGCTAGACACCGAATCGAGGTACAGCACATTCGGTAGGGAACTCCTAGCTATGTATTGTGCTGTACGGCATTTCCAACACTATATCGAAGGCCGTGAATTCACTCTTTTCACGGACCATAAACCGCTCACTTTCTCGTTAAGCTCCTCTTCAGACAAGTACTCTCCCCGTGAGTCTCGACAACTGGACTACATTTCGCAGTTTACTTCAGATATTCAACACATTTCTGGAGCAAACAATGTAGTTGCAGACGCCTTATCTCGCATAACTTCCTTGAACAGTTTCCAAGGAATCGACCTTCTTAAACTCGCCGAGCTTCAAAAAGAAGACAGTGATCTTCAGCACGAGTTATCGTCCACAACACTTAAACTACGCATCAAACAGATGGGAACAGGTAAGGAAACCTTACTTTGTGACACATCTACAGGTAGGGATCGCCCAATCGTGCCGAAACATTATCGACGCAATGTCTTCAATACATTGCACAAACTTTCTCATCCAGGTGTTCGTGCAACCATCAAGCTTATAGCAGAACGGTTTTGCTGGCCTGGCATGAATAAAGACGTGAGGGAGTGGGCACGCTCCTGTGTAAGCTGCCAAAAATCTAAGGTTATCAGACACAATAAATGTCCCTTAGGCTCGTTTAAAACTCCCGATGCTCGTTTCGACCATGTTCATCTGGATTTGGTAGGACCTTTACCAGATTCAAATGGATACTCTTATCTCTTAACCTGCGTAGACCGTTTCACTCGATGGCCAGAAGCAGTACCTATCAAGGACATCACTGCTGAAACAGTGGCCCGCGCCTTCGTCGAACGATGGGTAGCAAACTTCGGCTGCCCTTCAACCATCACTACAGACCGCGGACGTCAGTTTGAATCTGAACTTTTCCGTCGTCTGACCACACTTTTAGGAATCACTCGCTTCCGAACGACCGCCTACCACCCACAAGCAAACGGGTTGGTAGAACGTTTTCACCGACAACTAAAAGCTTCACTATCAGCTGCAAACGTTTCACAGTGGACCGACGCTCTTCCACTCGTCTTACTAGGTATCCGCAATGCAGTGAAAGCTGACATTGGATACACTGCGGCTCAACTCGTTTATGGAACGACACTTCGACTTCCAGGAGAATTCGTGGATCCTTCATTCTCTTCAGTGAACATGGATCTAACCTCCTACACGAACAGGCTTACAAACGCAATGCGTTCAGTTAAACCTGCTTCCACTCGACCTCAATCAACTGATGTTTTCGTTCAACCTGACTTACGATATAGTACACACGTCTTCGTACTTCGAGACTCGCATCGACGACCTTTCGAATCAGCATATGAAGGACCTTTCTAAGTTCTTCAACGCGAACCGAAGTACTATATAATCGATAGGAACTGAACCAACGATAGCATTAACATCGATCGCCTCAAAGCAGCGTATTTAGAAGGAAATCCTATCAACGTCGATTTTCCTCCGGTACAATCGAACGACACGACTCTGACACCTATAATACCTCATCCGACAACCAATACGCACGATGATACTCCGACAGTATCTGAAAGTAAACTTAAAACAACGAATTCTGGAAGAAGAGTAAGATTTTCAAAACATTTAAATGACTATTGCACGTAAGACACTAGTCGACATTTTGTTTCATCTTGATTTTCCGCGGCATTATATATATCATTTGGCTAATATGTATATTAAAAAGAGATTTTTAAAAACAACAAAAAACAAAAAAACATCCCCGTACACCAAATTGCAAACTGCATGTCTGTTCCTTCGTGGACTTCTGTATATTATTGCTTTTGAAGATGTCACAAGTATTTAGTGTTTGACAACGCTTTAACCAGTAACACTTTCTAATATAACTCGTACCCACCAAGAGAAATCAAAAGACAGAAGCGAGGAGGTTAGAAGATATATTTGATAGACTATCAATATATCGTGGATCGACTGATCGAATCTGGCTAGCGATTGCAGTAGATGTTGATCACGGCGTTCCCACTCGTGATCTGGTGCGGATGCATCACCGAGCGCCTCCAGCTAGGTGAGCCCAGTAAGACTAATGTGGTCAGCATCCAATGTCGAAGACTTACAGGACTATTGATTTTGAGAATTTTTTTACCGTCACAAATCGATTCGGCTCTGGAAAGTGATGAAACAAGTACAATTTCGCCATGTATATAGTTAACGAAACATTTACAACGATAAAAACTTATGAGCGAAATATACGGTGCTTAATTAAATATTCACTTGACTTGAATATAGAGCAATACTTATCATCACAGATTACATCGAGAATTTACGTTAATTTACGTCTTGAAAGAGAATTGTAATCATCATAGTACCATGAATACTGCTTACAAAAGTAGTGCGCGAAGTCTTTTTTGTCGTTACTTTGTTTGTCCTACAAAGTCGATGATTGGTTCTGTGTAGGTCATCTAATTGATTGGTACGAAAGGGTGTGTTGTTGTCGTTATTTCACATAATGCATCTAAGTCACTTATTTTCTTAGTAATTGGCTACGTGTTGTACATTTTTTATGATATATCTGAGCAGAAGGAAATTTTCCTCTCCAAGCCTCGTTTGTAACACTGCATGAGCTATGAGTCTTCTAATTCATATCGCTATTTTGGGAAAAGTTTGGGGTCTTTTGGGTAGATTTTGGGGTTTTTCCCTAGTTCGTGAAAAGTTAGGTAGGTTTCCGCAAAGTTTTGGGAAAAACCTCAAAGTGTTGTACGATTCTGGGGAAATTTCGATCGGAGTTTGTGGCCATTTCATCAAAGTTTCCTACTACAGTTTTCCCAAAATTTACCCGAAATGGACAAAATTTTCCCTGAGATAGGGAGACTGGGATAGCCTGGAAAGACCATTTCATCCCCATACTTGAAACAAGGGCTCGCTGCTTCAAATGGTTGTGGACGGAATAGAAGAAGCTTTCACTTAACGGGCTTTCGTGTCTAGTAGCAGTGGATCACCAAAACCTACAGAACAGGAGCCCAGGTATATTAACGATAGTAGAGGAAAAAAGAAATTGGCAAATCATAATAAGATGTTATCCTTAGTCCTTAAGAATAGGTCAAGTTTCCCCTTAAAGGACTCCTGAGGAGTTACTTGGACTAGATCATCCGGCAGCTAATTCCAGAAATTGATAACTCTTAAGGAGTAGAGATTGTGTTTACAGTCCGTTCTGCTATGTTGTATCTCCAATTTCTGGGTTTTACCCCTTAGGTTTGTATTGGGACTAAGCTTAAGTAGGTGTTTAAGCGGATGTCCAGAAGTGTTAAGGACACTGTAAGCCATGAGAAGGTCACCTCTAAGACGCCTATGCTCTAATAGGTAAAGGTTAAGTGATTGAAGGCGCTCTCCATAAGGTTTGAATTTGAGTCCCCGGGCTGATTTCTTGGTTTGCCGTTGGATACGCTCCAGTGTCCATATCCTTTTGGAGTGAGGGTGGAAATACTGTTTCCGTACTCTAAATGGGGATGAATAAAACTGTTGAAGATTATGTGGAAAGTTCTTCCGTCAAACTGGTCAAGAATGCGCTTCAATGTTATCAGTGCAAGGTTTGCTCGAAAGGCATTTCTGTCACAGTTAGCGTAGGACTTTAAATCGTAGGGTACTGGGACTCCTAAATCTTTTTCGACTCGGGATACTACTAGAGAGGAGTTTCTTAAGTTGTAACTGTAGTCTGCAACATGTCACAGATGGACTACTTCACACTTTGAAGTGTTAAAGGTAAGTCTGTTGTCGTCTGCCAAACTTTGAAGTCAAGTCAGATCCTCCTGGAGTGCCTGTATATCCTCTTGGCTGCGTGTCTCTCTCTCCAAATTTTCACGTCAACAGCAAAAAGTAATAAGTGACGATACCTGTTGTGGAAGGTCATTTATATAAATCAAGAAGAGAGGAGGTCCTAGTACTGAGCCCTGGGGGACCCCACTAGGACATTCCATAGCCTGAGATAAAGCGAAGTTAACCCTGACCTTAAAATATCGATTTTTCAGATATGAAATGAGCCAATCAATCAGAGGTGATCTGATACCCAATCGTTTGATCTTATTGATAAGACACATGCTTGACCCTATCAAAAGCTTTTGAGAAATCAAGGTAAATTATATCAACCTTCCCCTTGCGATCAAGGATATTTGTCCATCTGTTCACCGCAGTCAGCAGGTTGGTTATACAATAGTAACCCTTCGTGAAACCATGCTGTTGGGGTGAGAAATTTAAGGACAGTAAATAGTCATATATACCATCGCATATCAGGGACTCCATAATTTTTGAAGGTATAGAAAGAAGATCCACCGGTCGGTAGCTTGAAGGTTCGCTGCGTCGACCTACCTTGAAAATTGGTGTGACGTTAGCCAGCTTCCAAATTTCCGGTGGTTTTCCTCGGCTTAGCGAGTGTGAGAACATCACGCTAAGCGGTGTTGCCAGGATTAAAACTGCTTCTCTCAATATAGCAGAATAAACCGTGTCTGGGCCAGAAGTGTCTTTTCTCAAGTGCTGCAGTTTCCGGAACATCAAGTCAGCGCTCAGGTTCACTTCAGAAAGTCCTATGCAGTTGCGGATGAAGCTGTCATCAATATAGTTGATGTGGGTCGGTTGAAATGTCCGAGAGTATTGTTCAGACAAAAGGTTAGCGACGTCGCCGTCGTTATTGGTCAAGCCATTAGGACCTAGCAGTTGGGAAGCTCCAGTTTTGGCTTGACGAAGAGAGGCTGCATAGCGGAATAAGCTTTTCGGATTGGAGACAAATTTATCCGTAAGCTTTATCTGGTACTGGAGCCTATCTTCTCTTATAGCCTTCGTGCATATGTTCCTTATATGTTTGTATTGTCTGTACGCGCCGTTGTTGTCAGTTCGTTTGTATTCTGTCTAACAGTGCCTTTTGCGGCTTAGCAAGCGAAGAGTGCGGTTCTTGATGATTGTAGGTTGCTTGTAGCTATTGGGGACCGTTTGAGGGTCTGACTGCTTTGTAACATATAAGAGCGTGTGCAGTAAGAAGTCCCAATGAGCATCTACATCAAATTGAGGGTGAATATCCCAATCCACCTGTTGTAGATAATCCTGTAGAGCTGACACATTCAACCGTTTGGAATTCCAGCACCTGTTGTTGGTGGGATATCTTAGCTTAGTTTTGCTGACAAAACTGAGGACTATAATGGTGTGATCGCTTTTTCCCAGGGGAGTCAGGATTGAGAGGTTGTCAACTAGAAGTTCTTTGTTCGTAAATACCCAGTCTAAGCGCGACGGTATCTGACTGTCTCTCCAACGAGTTGCCGACTTCACATTTTCGTGTAATCTCAGATCCTCATTGAGGTTGAAGAACCGAGCTTCAGTTGAATTCTCACCTCCAATATACGTATGTTCCACGAAATTGACTCTAGGAGATTAAAGGCCCCTAGAATCAGGATATGAGTAAATCCGAGACGCGTAGAGCGGGATAGTCCTCCCAGCATACGACTGTCATACTCTATGTCAGCAGTGGGCTTCCCATAGATGACCCCGACTAGGCACCTCGAAGTAGTAGACAATCTTACAAAGCACCATACAGGTTCATCAAGATTTTTGAACTCATGGTTGTGAACTTGGTGTACCTCCAGGCAGGATCGTATGCATACAGCTACTCCACCCCCAATCCCTGTTTTTCTGTTGTTGCGAAACAAAGACATCCCAGGTATTGTTAGTTCTTGGTCCATAAACTGAGAAGATATCCAAGTTTCAGATGTTCCTATCAGATGAGCCTTATTAGCGTTGCTAAGTTCACGTAGCTCATCCATTTTATTTGATAGACTCGCGGCGTTCATGTATAAGTAGTTTATGCTTTCAATTTGAAACGCGTGAGCTTCTTCCGGGTGCATATGGATTCCAGTTGGCAACCGACGTCTGTTGGCACGAAATGCTTCCCGAGTTGCAGCCGCCATATGGGAGGATGGGAAAACTATCCTCATTAGCCGGGGTCTAGAATCACCGTCCTTCTTGGCTAGTCTCGTCACATGTTGAGTTAGTATGTTTTTGAGCCTCAAGGACTGCTTGATGAATATCCATTCCTTAATATCAGAGTTTGCTTGACTAGGGTCCGTGTTTTCTGGTACACTTTGCACAATGATATTTCTTCCGCGAAAAAAACTCCCGAGATTCTTTAGGGATGTTCCGTATGAGACTGCGCTCAGAATACGATATGTCGGGCAGTATTCTTACTTTCCCATCGAATTTCAGTAAATGACCAGCTAGCAGCACATCCTCTGCGTCGGTAGCGTTAGCGAGTGTAAAATGAAGTAGCATCGGGTGATTTTGATGCTTAGATTCCTTTCCCGAGTGTGCCGTGTCACCGTCAAAGGCTCTATTCTAGGAAGTTCAAGCTTCTTGTTCAATTCTCCACAGAGCATCCTGTCATTTTTATCCTGCAAACTGAGGGGCAGGTCAGGGTTGTCTTTGAGGTTCATGATTATGAGAGAGTCATCACGAACCGTTATTGTTTTCCCAGGTTTTTCGGTGCGTTCAGGTTCAGCACCTTGTTGTTTGAAGGTCGAAGCACGTTTCTGATTCCTAGGCTCTTTGATGACCGGATGGACATTCCTGGGGGTAGACTGTGCGGTCAAATCACCAGCTGATTTCCGTACAATACTTGGGATGTTCAGCTTAGACGGTGACGCCTGGTCCTTTTTAGCTCTGTTAACGTGGGTCCAATCACCTACAGAGTTTTTGGGAACCACTGTTGCTTTCAAGGACCCTGAGCTGGGAGACCCGATTTTGCTGAGGGAGTCTATTACCGTCGAAGTTATGGTAGTGCCGAGTTTCAGCATGTCATCACTAGTGCTGATGCATGCTTCATCGATAGTAGACCTGTCGACATCCCTATTCTTGTTTTCATTGCGCGTCCTTGTTTGTCTACTCGTTTTATGACTGTCTTTTTCCAAGTTTGCTGACAACTTATTCCGCAGACCTTTCAATAGGACAATGATGTTACTCAGCAAAACTACAGCATCCGTGTTGCACGTAACACATACCAACTTATGATCCGACTTGCTGAGTCTGTTGTAAGCAGTTGCTGTGAGATCGGCGCACGCTTCATGGAACCAACCTTGCTGTTATCGCACCGCATGCCAGATGTAACAACAAAACGGCATCCAGGTCGTTTGCATGAATTTTTTATGACTATATTTACGTAAACTGTATTATAGATGCTAGAGAAACTCTAAGACCGTTAAAAAATACACTAAAAACGGGCAAAAATGGATAAAAACGGATGTGATGAACTGAACTAGCCTTTACGTGAAAAACTGGAAAGAAAACTGAACAGTAAGCTGAGGCAAAACCACAGTTAACTATTAAATTGGGTGAAACTCGAAAAAAAGTAATCTACAGAACATATAGCTTAGAATAGATTCTTTAGATCAGAAATGGTACTTTTGTTGCGTAAGAACACAGCAAAAGTTTGAGGAATGCAAATCACGTTAGGACTAAACTTCCCGTTTGAATCCCATATTCTGAATGGGGTCTCACGAAAGTCGGGTATAATACTCTGTAGATATCTTCTTCCAAGTACTGAAACGACCTACGAGTAGCCCATAATACCCTAAAGCCTTTGGCAACAGTAGCCTTGCAGTTGCTCGTAGTTTTGAGGTCGCTGCTTATTATAACTCCTAAATTTTTATAGTCCATTACTTTGGGCAACACAACTCCACGTATTGTGTGGTGATATGATTAATCGTAGTTATTTAGTTGTATCACCACAGAACTTACTTCTAGTGGCCACCCGCCCTTCCAACAATGAGTTGAGATCATCCTGTATTACTATCCTATCTGACATACTGTTTATGGGTCTCCAAATCTTTATGTCATCGGCAAAGAGTAGGACGGTTGACTTTGTTACAGTTAGTAATTCATTTACATAAAATTAAAAAAAAGTTAAAAAAAAGGAGGACCAAGGATTGTACATTAGGGAGCAGAGACTTAGTAACTATCGTCCCGTTAGTCTAACCAGTGCAGTTTTAAAACTAATGGATGGCTGTTATAAACTATGTGGAAGGGCATAATATTTTATCCAGAGAATAACACGGTTTTTTTAAAAGGTCTATCATGCTCGACAAATCTGCTCATTGTAAGAGAAGATTGGGTTGCAGCAATAGATCGAAGTATTCCTGTAGAGTAAATGGAGCTCTCTCACCGTGTAACGGGGATTACACCCGAAACGATAGTCTCTCTGAACTTATTTATTTAAACACATAAACATTGGTACGAGGCACCAAATAGATATGCCCCACATAAACCATACGATTTGTGTGAGGGCTGAGATACTATCCGCACACCCAAACCGAAGCACGTGGTTTTCTTAGAGGATCACACCCGGAGCCTTTGACCTAAAGGTCTGATCCACAAGGTAGTGGAGTAACGTCTGGAGATGCAGTCCCATGGTAGCTGGTCACCAACGATTGGTTCATATGTCATTTGTTCCTTCAGGATCCTGGAGCCCATGTGCACCATTGTTTTTTAACTCCCCTAGGTGGACCCTCCGTGTCCCTTTCATTGGTATTGAAATACTAATTTCAACGGCCTAGTTTGATTTTCTTTCAAGTCTGCTTGGCTACCTAGTTGATAAACTTTCAGTAAGGCGGCCCCAGAGATATCTGCATACACTAGTTGGTTAATTAGACTTTTTATCAACTCAATGTCATGCTCAAAGCAGTTTCTAGGTTCAAAGCTTTCACTCTCCTTGACTCTCAAAGATGATTGCCTTGTCACTATGATCAGCCTTTGATTTCTCAACTACTGTTCAGAAGACTGTCTTTTTTATCAATATTAGGTCGTCTCTTATTCTTGATTTGTATCCATCCATCAGCTTTCACTAGAGTTACAATCACAGTTGCGTTAAACATACTGTGAGATCCTCAATGATTGTCGATGACTTAGGTGACCAGGTTGTTTTTTGTGCTGTAAACGGACCTAGCTTTACGGATTAAAATTTCTAGGTGTCTCCTGACTGCTCCCACTTGGAGTGCAGGGCAAAGGAGAAACCTTTCCTGGGTTATTTTTTACAGACCTCTTTGAAGTCGCTCTTTCCGCCTTTGGTGCATGTAGTTCAGTGGATTTTGGGCTTATTTGGGATGACTACACATCGGTTTGTGGATTGACAGAACCTTCTAATTTTAGTCTTCAAATCCAGTCTCTGAATTCTTGTTACAGCATTAAACCTGCTACTCAAAGTTATTTTCGCTCCAGTTACATGCAGCTTTCTCCGTTTTCAATCAAGTAAGCCAAATTTCTTTTCATTGTGTAGCAATTTCTTTGTAATTTTGCGACAGATAACATCGACTTCAGCTCATAACAACAGTAACGCGTTTACAAATTTCATTCACTCGAGATATCATGAGGTCAAGTCCGCAAAACCGGAGCTATCAAATTATGATGTGATCAGAAAGTTAGCACAGTTGTACAAATCACTTCCAGTTGAAGAGGTAGAAAAGTTAAAGTTAGAAGCGAAAGAACATCAATCTCATGTCAAAAAAGCGACCAAGGTTATATTTTTGACTGTTTATTCTCTTGATTTATCGCTTGTTGATTTGTTTTCTGAATGAATTTAATATTTTTCTTACCGTTGGTTTTAAGGATGTAAATGGTGACGTCGTTCTGTTCTTGTTGCGGGGAATAGTTGTTGGTGTTTGTAGTGTTGTTGAGATATATACTGTAAACTTAAAACAGTCTTCTTTCCTAGAAAAACTCATATAGCAAGTATGTTTACCGATAGTTAGTCATATTATCTCACAATCGCAGTATGACTATACCAAACGCTCCGAATATCATCGGTTAGTCAAACAAGGTTGGTATGAAACAGTAGTAAGTATACCCCCGTGCACAGTATGTGAATTTTTTATTTGAATTCTTGATATTTGTTTCTCAATGGGAATTTGGATTTAAGATATTCAGTGTTTCTGTAACATGAACATTAGATTCATCCTTTGAAATTACTGTGATATAATTAATGCTTTTCAGAAATCAGAATAGTAACGGCAAACTTAAACTTCGCTCTTGCTGTTAAATACCACATGTATCTTATCATATATAAAGTGTTTTTGCATTCTTTACTTATTCCAAAAAGTCAAACTTCAGGAGTTTGGTTTAGTATACTAATCTGATTACTAATTTGAACCATATAAAATACTGGGTAGTCTACTAGCGATTCTAGTGTAACTAAAATTGGTATTTAAACTAGCGGAATGTCTGTATTAGTTATCACTCTACGTTTATCAGTAACTCATATTTCTCGTTTATTCTACATTCACATTTCAGTGTGACACTAAAATATTTTTCAACTTCGTTGATAATTATTTATATTATTTATTTGAACACATATATATGGGTACAGGAGTGCGCCAAATATATATGCGCCACACAAAACAATGAGAATTTAAGAAGAAAAAAATGAGGAACGTAAAAAACTTTTTAAAAAAAAACAATAATGAAGAGATTGGTGTAAGGGAGTGTAGTAATAATCATAGTCATAATGGGGGAACGGAAAGGTACAATCAGAAGAAATCTTTCAGGTAAGGGAGACAGAACCACTTTTTATGAAGAAAGTAAAAGAAGGTTACCGCAGGATCGCCACTGGCTTCTATTCTGAGCCATATCTGATAACGTCTCTAGCCACTGTGTTGCACCATCTCTCGGACCCCAACCAGGGAGTCGTGAAGGACCGACAGAAGCCAGTCCTTTGCAGCTTTCTTTCATGCCACGACACCATGTCATATACTGACCACCTCTCCGCTTTCTCCAACCAGTCCCAGAGTCGGCAAATAATGCGCGACGTGGAATTCTGTGGGATGACATTCGTAGAACATGTGCAAGCCACCGAAGTCGGTGTTTCAAGATGGTGACACCAATTGCATTATCGTCTCTGTGCCCGAACACACGATGCCGAACCTCTGCATTACTGACATGGTGTTGCCACTGGATGTCAGCAATCCTTCGGAGACAACGATGATCAAACACAGAGTCGTCTAACATCCTGAACTCGGAGAGATCAGGTTTCACAAGCATAGAGCAAAACTGCTCTCACCGATGCGTTGTAGATCCGACCTTTTACAGCCAGACTAACATCACGAAGGCGCCAAAGGTGGCCCAGATTGGCATAAGCCGCTCTGGCTTTCACTATTCGTGCATTGATCTCATCACTCACACCCCCACTAGGACTTATGCAGCTACCCAGATACACGAACTTCTCGACTACGTCTATCTGCTCACCATCCAGGGTGAGTACAGGATTGGAATCCTGCCAGTCTTGTAGAAGTACTTTGCACTTGGAAGGTGCAAAGCACATACCATACCTACGGACACTGATTGCCAACTGATTAAGTGCGGATTGCATGTCTTGGGGATTATCGCACAGTAAGACAATATCGTCCGCATACTCAAGGTCGAGAAGTCTTTCTCCAGGCAACAGATCCACACCACCATTACTTAAATCCATCAAGATTCTAGCATTTGGCGGAGGGTGGAGATATGATCAATACATCCTCGACCAGAACGAAACCCAGCCTGCTCCTCGCGAGTCAATCTTTCTCGGGTTTTAAACAACCTACGAAGTATGTTGATAATCACTATTTTCTATTAGTAGCATGATGTATGAAGCTTTAAATATATTATCTAGCATCGTTTCGATCAGTAGATTGATTTCTCTATCCATGGATAACTAAATCGGAGATTGAAAATAACTACATTACTAGTTAAAATCCAACCACGAACAATGTATTTTGTATCTCAATTTCATTCAATACCTGTACACTGCTCTTTTTCATTTCCATTTTCTTATGGAGTATTTTTATTGCTATATGTTATGAAATAATTTTTCACTGTGGCAATTTTAGTTTGCTTATCGTAATGGAATGCCAAAAAGTCCACCAAACTCTGGACTCAAAGTTTTTATGAGAGAAAAACTAAAGGATTCTAAGGTAAGTTACCGTTATTATTTAGATGAAACCATTTCATCGAGATTAAAAATCCTGTGTATATTATAACATTTAGCTTCTTGTCAGTCAGTCAGTCAACTGCAACGTAGGACTAGGCACATATATGCATCGGTCAAAGTTGCCACACCTCATTAGCACAACAAGATGAACACCAAATTCATCTTTTAATCTTGTAGTCTAAAAGCATGTATCTGAATTTGGAATTGAGTGATAAAGGCCTTTATGATTGTATGAGTATAAAAAATACGTTTTTACTGTTGGTCAATAGTAGCTTGTTTTTATTTTGCTCTGGACATATGAAATGAAATATACTATGTCGTGTATTGTAAGTGAAAGCGTTTTATTTAAGAAAAATTGATAGAATCTGCTTTATTATAAGTTTCAACAAAGTACGCTTTAGGTAACTCGTAGATCTACGTACTAGATTTTGAATGTTTTCAGTTATTGTTTGCGGTAAATTCTGTAAACATTTATTCGTTTAATTCCTACTTCTTGGCTTCTTGCTTCAAGTTAAAGTTTATCAGGCTTATTATGAGTACATAATTTTCAGGTCACCGAGGCTTACGGCTTTTTTATCGATTTCGATTTAAAGACGAAGTAAATTTGAAGTATGTGAAAGACTATTTTAAATTTGCTTGAATTTGTAAGTCTGGGCCCCCAAATGCGCTGGTACGGCCGAGGTCGGAGAGGGTTCGCTCTCCCTCTCGAAATGCTTTCACATGGCCACGAGTATATAGCCATTGCCAGGAAAGTCCTACTCACTGCCTTGTGGCAGCGGTGTTGTTTACGAAATCGAGAGGATGAAAAGCGAATGTCTAGTGCTTTAACCGGGTTGGTGGATATGGAGGATCCACCTAGGAGAGTTAAAAAAACCCTGATTTCAAACCAATGGTGCACATGGGCTCCAGGATCCTGAAGGAACAAATGACGTATGAACCAATCGTTGGTGACCCGCTACCATGGGACTGCATCTCCAGACGTTGTTCCACTACCTTGTGGATCAGACCTTTAGGTCAAAGGCTCAGGGTGTGGTCCCTTAAGAATATCACCTGTTTCGATCTGGGCACCCGGGCAGTATCATAGCCCACACACAAAACCAAGTGACTTGTGTGGCGCATATGTACTTGGTTCTCCTTTGTACGAATATTTATGTATTCAAATAAATAAATAAATTAATTAATTAAATAAATTAATAAACTAATCAAATAAATAAATAAATACATAATAAGTTTGATGTTCCTATGCTCTCCAGTAAACGATGTTCGGATGATTGAATGGTAAGGCTTTAATATTTGCGTAAATCGAACTGGTTATTCTGTCACTATTACAAGACAATTTCGGTTTTTTCCAGAAACCGAAACTATCGATAATCGAGATCAATCTATTGGGACAGTCCTCGGTTAACCTGACTAGAATTTTTCGAGCGTCAATCTCAAAAATGAGCTAAAATGTACCTTTTGTTCATTTAGCTTCACCTTTTTGGTTTCTCACAGCCTTCTTAACTTCGCTGCATGTTTAGGACAGGGTGTGATTTTATCATCTTATTACGGTTTTGACTAGGGCGCTCATGTTTTTATGTACCTGTTCCAAGAAGCTCTTGGTAGTTCGTATTCGGTGATAGCTGGTGTAGTTATTAAGACTAAGTAGCTTTTACTTGTCTCCTTATCTACTCATAGCCTTAATGAATTTACACTTATCCTAACTTTCTTCTCATCTCGAACTCTGCTAGCATACGTGTTCGGACCTAGATAAATTGGTACGATGCTGCCGCGGTCTCTTCATCTTTGGGAAAATTCCGTCTTAAGTTATAACGTGTCTTTACTTCTGTTACAGTAGCGGGCTAAATATTTCAAGTGAAATCATGATAATATTCGTTTGACAACTTCTCCCATACATGTACACTTGACCTAGTGCTGTAAACGGTCTTAGGGAAACTTTTCAGCTGCCTGTTCCTGGTAGTCGAATATATAGGTATGTGAATAATTACGTGATTGTAGTAGGTACTTCAAAAATGAGATACGTTTTATTTGAGTCCATTTTCAACTATGATTAATCTCAAATCTACTCATGCCTATCTCCGAATTGTTGGTTTTGGGTACATCCTTGCGAACCTTTCGAATAAAGAATACTGTCTAACATTACTGGTTTCCTGAGTATTACTAATTGGCTGGGGTTGTTCAACTTATTAACTACACTTCTCGCTTAGTGATTTAACGTTTCTACTGCTAAGTTTTATCTAACTGATTTATGGTGTAATAATTAAAAGTTTATGCACCGATTTCTTAATATTGTTCCCTATGCACGTAAATCTGTCAGTGAATACTGCCATATCAGTGTAATTTCTAACTAATCAATTTTTCCCATATTAAATAATTGTTGGTTCGCATAAGAACAGAAGAAAATAGTGCATCTAATGTGTCCAACTGTGATCCTTATGACGACCAAATGCAACATTTATCACGGGAGATCGCTTTGTGTACTTATGGTGTGGTCATTCGTTTACTTGATGGGTATCAAGAGTCACTGTTCGAATGGTTTATTAACGACCAAGATGCTTCTCAATCTAATCACAATATGAATAAGTTTTTTACAGTATCATTATGTGCACAAACTAGGGTAAATTGACACCATCTAAATGACTACCCATGTTTTTTTAGAATTCTGGTGGTAATAGCTTACTGATATTGATTTTTTAAAATTTTTTAGTTAACTTCTCCACTTCAACCAATTTCTGTGACTATTAGTGTTTAACTACTGTCACATATGTGTAGATGATTGTCTATTCATGGTTGTTTTTTTATTTTTTCAGGGTACACCAGTGTCTCAAATGCGAAATGACTTTAAAGATACTGTAAAACAATGGATGTCGCTGCCTGAATCTGATCAACTGGTAAGTTGATCAACTGATACACCATGTTGATAATAGATAATACCATTTTTGCTGTTGGATTCAAAAATATCTGGGGGTATAGTTATTCACTTTTTTGTAAAAAAAAGTGTTTGTGAGTTTTTCTTGTAACACACAGTTATAAGTTGATACCATGAGAATTCTCATAATCCTTTTCTTTAGTTTAAATAACTATAAAGCCTTCCTTGTCATAGCAGACAATTAAGTTAATGCATGAAGTATTTTTCATCGTTATTCTGTATTTGAAATGGTAATGTTCTAGTAATGTTTGTTAAAGTTGTTGTGACCAGTTAATTGACTAAGCATTTGTTTTGTTTCTAACATTAAATACTTTTATCAATGTCTATGCGCACTCTTATTAACCTCCGATAGACTTCTTATTGTTTGGGGGTGTAGCATTATGAATTGAATCCGAAAGTAGCATAATAAATATTGAATTTTTCGGGGAAGTCTTAAGTGATTTCTTATAGCAGTGTCTGTCGTTGAAACGATTACCAAAGAAGTACATAAGCCAGCTGATTGCTTTTTATACAAACCACTATCCGTCAAGTCAGAATTTAAGGCAAACTCCCATTTGAATTGGCTACATCAAGTGGCGCTCTCTAATTCTGCCCACTTCCCACATTTTCAGTTGATTTTATCATTGTGTGGTGTATGCTACTTATACTGACAGACATAAGTAGTATGTGCACCAATCGAAAGTGGAATGCCTGACAGCGAAAGGTTGAAATGAGGAGAACAAGAAGTAAATCACTACAACAGATGTGCTCATAAAGATAATATTTTCTCCTAATTTCCTGAAGTCACCTTCTACCTATAGCGATGTTGATTGACTTGAAATACATGGCTAACGTAGCTATGTCTGGTTTAGTCACTAACCAGGTACGAAGTCTTCTAATCGCCCATCGATATCCAAAACATTGTTTCTGTTTTGTTTTGCTTCCTTTTTGTAATTTGACCATAGGAAGTAAAATAGTTTAGTCATATCAAAACTCCAATTATTTCGGGAATGACCAGTTTTAGAAGAGCGTCGTGTAGCAAAATCTTGATATATACCAAAGTGTGTTCAGGTTTGGTACGGACAATATATCCACCTACTTTTCAAAAGGCGAGTATACAGCCCACTAATCCGTTCTCTATTTTGTAGCTATGAAACTTGGCTAGTGGAAGTTTAGGATATGTGTAAGTCTCAAGTATTCGATCTTACGTGTCTTCGAAGCATTGCTCGCAGCCAGTAAAATCATCGAGCGAATGATGTAGAAGATAGGCTTAAGTTTCTAGATAAAGGTGTAAAAGTTGGTTAATGCGTTTGTGAATCTTCATTTGTTGAGGTTGTTAGGATCTGTGTTAGAGATACCTAGCTACTCGCTACAGTTATGTATAATGATAGTTTGCATAGAAACAGGAAAGGCTTACTGTGAGTAAACTAACATATACCATTACTTAATATTGTTGGTGATCTTATTCTGTCAATCAGTCATAAGCAGCGTACAGCCTTGCACAAATGTGCATCGACTGTTTCCAAGTCACATCAACATAGCGAGATTATTATTTTGAATACCAAAGTAGTATTAGTGATAGTAAAAAAGATTAGGCATTAAAAATAAGGTTTAAGAAAAAGAATGGATTAGCAGAATAAATTGTATTAATTATTTTGGAAACTCAGGATCCGAAGGACCAAAAAAGTATGAATTCAAGTTCATGCGCTGCTGTTGCTTACTCTAAATTTTTTCATCCGACATCAACCACTGATCACGGTTATCGCGCGGAAATTATTCACGTTGTCTTCACCTATCTACATGGCTCAATCCAACGGCCAGGGACTTTATATATTGATGCAGTATCTCGATTTCCCTCTTAGCATACTTCCAACCCAGTTCCTGCTCCAGTTAACATTATCTGTCTATGTAGGGGATGGTCGAGCATATGCAGTACGACCAACCACCTCAGTTAATACAGATTCATAACCTTATCAATTAACTTGCGATCTTTGACTACTAACCCGCACTTAACCTCAATATTGTTTAATTTGTTCCACCAGCATACATGAATAATCCCTCAAAGATTCCTATAATCAAGTACCAGTGATCCACTAATATATCTCACTATAATAGGCCATGTTTCATAACCCTAAAGTAAAACAGAGAAAACTACTGTTCAGTATAATTTCCCCTTCGTTGTCAGACAGATGCCTCGCCTACATCAGAGTTTATTTAATTTGGCACTATCAAACGAACTTCCTGATTCCTTGTCGGGGTTTCGTCAATCGCTAACCTGACAAAGTTGATGAAACTATCAAGATATGTTGATAATCTACTGTCATAAATGTACGGTGTGAATCCGCTTGTTTAGTAAACTGAACATTCAACTAAGAATAGTATCTATTTTGCTTGTTTTTTTATAAGTCAGGATATTAGATTGACAATGTGTATGTAGTTCTTTAATTTAATTTTTTATGGTTCGAATCATCCTGTTGTTGATATTTTCAACTGGATTCCGATCAGTCTTAGCTGGTATATGTTCCTTTTGTGCGAATTGTTCTGATATTGGCATTATGTTATAAGTTTTTATAGAATAAATGAAATGTAACTGGCAGAGGGATCCGGGACATTAAATGTAGATACATTTATTTGACGAGTCCAAACTGGGATGAAATGCATGTCCTGGATTTTGGTACTAGTCATGTTCCATCAAGTTAATCTTATACATATACATGTATCGTTTTAAATATTCCATACTGTTATATTTATTCAATTTTTAGGAGTATAATAACATTGCAAAAGATCTAAAAAATGATTATGAAACTAAACTTAAAGAATGGGCTACAAAAAATAATATTCAATATACAAAACGTATATCAATACTGGCTGATAGATTCTATAGAGCATATTACCCAAAATAAAAGAATCCATTAATTATTAAATGAAGACAGAGATGAATAAGATTACTACAAAATGTAATACTTTTACTACTTCCACTGGTGTTGTTTTCTTTGTGGTTTTAAATTCTGAAAAGCCGATAAACCAACCAATGGTAGTAATCAGTTTTTGTGCGAATTATTATTGTCATTTATATATCTGTTTATTGAATCTTTTAGTAATGTGTAGCCTATTTCTTGTTACTACTCATCTATTTCAAGAATATTTTTTTCTCTCGTTTTTTTTTTCGCATCGTTACTCGTTAGATTGTTTTCTTTCTTTTTTTTTTCTGTTTTGTTAAGCTACTAAATGATGTTTAAAAAAATTTTCTGTATTCATCTGTCATAAATGTGTAATAACTAATTATTGGTTTACTCATTAGTAGTAGTTGTGTTTGAATACTAACTCAGTTTTGGGGGGATTCGATGTGAATAGGCTTACATCGTTTATTTGTTGTACTAGACTTCTAGATTAAGACTTGTAACATTTACAGGTTATAGTATAGAGAGTATAGATGCCAATTATTTCAGAATACAATAGATCGCTAATTATTCATATTATTTATTTATTTAAACATATAAACGTCAGTTTAAGAGGTCATCAACATATGTATGCGTCACACAATAAAGATGAGGTTTTTAAAAGATAGAATATTAATAATTATAATATTAATGGGGGAAGCAGTTTAGTTAAGAAAAGTACAACCAGAAAGGATTCTTTCAGTTGAAGAAGTTTCTTTCACTTATATGAAGCAAGTAAAAGAAAGTTACGGTAGGTCTGACATTGGCTTCTATTCTGAGCCATGTCTGAATACGTTACAAGTCATTAAGTTGGAACTTCTTTACGACTCCGACCAACAGATATCAGTTCTGTTCAGCTTTCTTTCATTCCACAACATGTCATACATCAAACACCTCTTCGCTTTTTTCAACCAGTCCCAGTGTCGGAAAATAATGCTCGATGTGAAATTCACTGGGACGATATTCGTAGTACAAGTACAAGTAATCAAATTCGATATTTTAAGATGGTGAATACAATTGGATTGTCAGTTTGCCCTAACCTATTCATTACCAACATGGTGTTGTCACTGAATGTCATCAATCCTAGGAAGACCACGACAATCAAGCGCAGAGTTGCTGAACATCCTCGAATTGGAGAAGCAAGGTTTCACAAGTATAGAGTAAAACTGCTCTCACTATCGAATTGTAGACCCGACCTTTCACAACCAGACCAAGATCATGAGGGTGCCAAATATGGTCCAGATTGGTATAAGCTGTTCTGACTTTCAATGTACCGGAATTGATGAAGATGAGACTTTTATGATTCATGATGTAAGTGATATCACATCATAATGAGGAAATCTTTAACATAATTCATAATAGGAAACTTCAATATTATAAGCATAACTGAATTTTGGCAAACCTGTACACCAACAATAATAAATTGTTTGAATCAACGAAATAAAAAAATCGTGTGGTCTAGTGGTTAAGCGCTCGCGTGCGAAACTGATAGGTCCTGGGTTGGAATCTCGCGAGGCGGGACCGTGGATGCGCACTGCTGAGTAGTCCCACAATAGGACGAAACAGCTGTCCAGACTTTCCATAGTGATCTAGCTCCAATTGACTCATGATTTCAACCATTGAAATTACTAGAGTATCTGCAAAAGCCCTTCTGATATGAATAAAATAGCTAACGACGATGTTAAAAATAAAACTCAAAAATAAAAGTGATCAATAAGATGTTTAACCTAATTTCCACTGAATTTGTTAAGTAACTTTGTTATTGAATAAGAATAAAGTGAATTCAACGAAGGAAATTCTGTTCCTTTTCGACAAAATCATTTACTTAAGCTGTACATTCGTATTTATAGTTTTATGGAAAATGCATGTCTATGGAAGGATAGAAAGGATTGTATCACGAAATGGATTCGAGATTCCTAATATCACATAAGGTTGCGTAATAATCTGGGGGTTATAGAAGAATGAAAATAATTAACGGGTCAGATAATTGTCCAGTTGACAGATCTGAAGAAAAGATAACAAACATAAAGGTCATAATAATAGAAATTGAATAATAATTAAGAAAACTTGTTTAAGGGTAGTAATAATAATAACTGATTAGAGTCTACAATGACATAACACTAATTTAAAAAATCAATAATCAAATAAAAACGGAGAAATGAGGGAAAAAAACACCGAAACATACCACTAAAGGGAATTAGGGTCAAGGAAGGATGAGAGATTGGACGAATCGTTTCTCCATGAAAAGTTCAGGTTTGAGTTCGTGGATTGCCAACGTCTCAGCAGTGCATAAAATATTGATTCGACATTCCTTCCATCCGATTTCTTTGACTGTGTAGATTATTTTAAAAAAGAAAACTTCATTGGAGCGATGTGTCAGCAGTTGATTAAATGCTCCTGTATTGAAATAGTAATTGTTTTACATTCTCGTTTTAAAAGCCATGCCGGATAGTGTTCTGAGATGAGTTTAGAGAGTGGCCGCTTTGTGTGGTCAATGTAACCTACCCCATATGAGCAAGTAAATTTATAGATACACATTGATGTGGCCCAAAGTGGAGGTTTATCTTTAACACATCCACGAATGGTTGGCCAGTCTGAGAAAACAATTCGGAGCTTAGCTGCGTAGAACGTTTTATTCAACTATTTTGAAATCTGTTTATTTAAGATTTCAGCAGTCGTATCTCCTTTAAATCCCATATTCATAAAAATTTTTTTGTACTGTCGGTACTTTTTCATGATGATATCTAGGTGTTAAGTTGCTATCGACGAATCTAGGTGGATAACCGTTCCTAATGAGAGTCTATCGAAGTTGAAGTGGTTCCTCATCTATTGTATCAGTAGAACATATTCGCCTGATCCTTGAGGATGAAGAGTGAATTAAATTCCTCTTTCTGCTTAGCGGGACCCAGCTATAGAAATTCGTGTACTGCTCATTTCATGTCTATTCTCTATATATAGATCTCTGTGAAAAAACCATCCGGTCTTCTTTTCAATCGGACATCAAGAATATGAAATTCCTTGTTTGCCTCTGCTTCTAGAGTGAATTGAATTGAGGAGTGACAATCATTGAAACTATTCAATAATTTCATTGAGTTCATGTCTTCTTCACAAATAATGAAAGTATCATCCATATATCTCTTATATAAATTATTGGTCGAAGTACCGAATTTTCTAGATTCTCCATGAAATAATCAACTAAGAGTGGACCCAATGGAGAACGTATTGCAACTCCATCTATTTGTCTATAGAAATCATCATTAAATCTAAATTGCACGTTGAGTGTACATCGTAGAAGTAGTTCTTTTAGATGATATTTTGCGATAAAAATATCAAGGTTATTGTAGTCAATATAGTCACATAAAAAAAATAGTTTCTGTGAGAGGAACATTTGTAAAAAGAGAAGTGACATCTAATGAGATCATTTTCCTACCATTAACATTTATATTTCTGAGTCAACTAAGGAATCAAGAAAGTTGTATTTGTTGATATGATTTTTAACGGGTTGCAAAATATCAGCTAACCATTCAGTAATTGGGTGATACGGAGAGTTGTTCATATCACTTATAGGACGTAGAGGGACATGATTCTTATGAACTTTTGAGAGTCCATACAGTGTTGGTATTGTAGCGTGGCGTCGAGTTGAGGTAAACTATGAACACCGCTACCAAGAAACACGTGCCAGACAAATCAGAAGGCGTAAGAAGCTCGTTCCAAATGACTCCATAAAATCCCCGAGAAGCCGAATACCAGAAGGCAATTAATGGACCAAGTCGAGGTTTATTAGCTGGCGATCTCGTGGCATCGAAAGGATACCGAGATCGTGCCAGGATACAACCTTGGTTACAGAAGGTAACCGAATTCGCGCGAAGTTACAATCGAAGTGTAAGGAAAGAATGGAAGCACAAAATAGCTGTCATTAGCACAGTCAAACAAAAGCACGTTAAAACAAACACTGGTACAGTTGGTTATAATAATAATTGTTTTTATTAAACCAGTCGTGTTCTCGTGATAAATGTGAGTCACTACAGGAGCCCCCCGCTAGAAAGGGTTTACACTTTCGATAAATAGCGGTTTGAATCGTGGGACTGATCGGCTGACGAGCGATTGTAGGACGGAAGAATTGGCGAACAGGAAAGCGATCGTTGATCGTCGAGTTGCCAACGAAGGTCGTTTTCGGAGAACGGTACCAGGAGCGATGTGCTGTATTTATTGCTTGAGTTGGCATGCTACACCAGAGTGGTTTGTATCCAGAATCTGAAGGGGGCGTTCGTAGGGTGCGGACCAGAAACGCTGCAGACGTAGGACGAAACCACGTTGAGCCAAAAGACCAGAAGCGACCATAACGACCAAGTTCGAGACCAAGCGTATGCCAAGCATTCGAAACCAATATATCGACTGAGTGCGTTGACAAGAGCATGGGTGGCCAGGCCAGCTTTCGCCAAAGTTGACTGAAGTCGACGGAACCAAACGGAGATGGTCGAAGGCGTGGGCTCAGGAAACAAAAAGAAAATCAAAAAAAAGAGAAGAGTGTAGCATGCGTGTAGTATAGGAATAATCCTACACCGTATCGGTTGTTAACTGTGCGGCTAGTCGCGGAAGCGTACGGGTAACCGTACTCGGCGACCGGAACGTGAGACGGTAGTCTCGTTCGTATCTCGTGAGCCTGCAATCTCATCCGAGGTCAGAGGCGGCGTGGTCTGCTGATCTGGACGTGAGACTGTCGTCTCGTCCGTAGACGGTGCAGATGACGCGTGCTGTTGACCGGGACGTGAGAATGAGGTCTCAGATGTATCTAGCGTGGGACCTGAAGAAGATTTAAGGATCCCGCTAGGTTTGATAGGTCTAGCATTGAATCTCAGGGTGTCAGATAGGGCACTGTCATCGACGTGTGCTGGTTTGAGACGATCAATGCTGACGATCTCGACGCGTCCATATCGATCAACCTTGAAGGTCTTTTCGTGACGAGCGATCACGTGAAAAGGGCCTTCGTAAGGTTGTTGCCAAGGTTTGCGTACCGAATCTACTCGTACAAAAACATGTGAACAGGTAGATAACTCTCGAGGGAGAGCGACCTGTCGATGTTGTATTCGAGTTGACACCGGAGACAGCGTTCGCATAAATGCAGACAGTCGATGGACGTAGTCTGATTTACCGAAATTAGGTCTGCTCCGTGGTGTGAAGAATTCTCCGGGCAGACGCAATGTCGTGCCGTATACAAGTTCAGGGCGGAACATTGGATATCTGCCTTTAAGCTCGTTCTGATCCCTAAAAGAACGAGCGGTAAGGTTTCGTGCCAGTTGCCGTTTTCGTGTGCTCGTAGAACTCTTTTAAGTTGGCAGTGAAACCGTTTACTTAACCATTTGGTGCTGGGTGGTAGACGGATATGCTTATGCGTATGCATTCCGTACCAAGCAGCCGGGTCAGCGAGGAGAATCGTTAATAGGGAAACATTTCTCGAATAAAGCGTGGAATTCATCGTCACGCGAATAAAAAGTAACAAGGATTCGGTACACATACGTGTGAGTCTATTATATTAATACTATTCTTATCGTTATCCGTCATGTCGCGTATATTATATATTAAAAAATATGAAAATATACGACAGACGTGGATAGATAAATCATAGACTCACCGAATTGGCTTCTTTGGAAGATTTGATCAGAAGTTGAGGCGTGTTCCAAAATACGGGTCACCAATGTAGCGTGGCGTCGAGTTGAGGTTAACTATGAACACCGCTACCAAGAAACACGTGCCAGAAAAATCAGAAGGCGTAAGAAGCTCGTTCCAAATGACTCCATAAAATCCCCGAGAAGCCGAATACCAGAAGGCAATTAATGGACCAAGTCGAGGTTTATTAGCTGGCGATCTCGTGGCATCGAAAGGATACCGAGATCGTGCCAGGATACAACCTTGGTTACAGAAGGTAACCGAATTCGCGCGAAGTTACAATCGAAGTGTAAGGAAAGAATGGAAGCACAAAATAGCTGTCATTAGCACAGTCAAACAAAAGCACGTTAAAACAAACACTGGTACAGTTGGTTATAATAATAATTGTTTTTATTAAACCAGTCGTGTTCTCGTGATAAATGTGAGTCACTACAGTATAACGGTAATCGATGGTTTAAGATGTTCATGGAGGTCACAAATGATAATAAACTCATCTTTCATCTTCCTTAGGATTTTAATTAGCATCTGTTCATTCAGTTGCGTCTTTTTTGAACGGTTTCTTGGGAGAATTTGACAGGATCAGATAATATCGAAGATGGTTTGGTAACATAGTCAAGACGATCCATAAGGAAAATTCTTGCACCCTTGTCTAGGCGACATATCACTAAGTCCTGATTTCTCCGAAAATCAGGTAATTGAGACTTATTCTCTTTTGTGAGTAATCGATTAATTGTAGGTATTTTGTTTACATATTGATTACAACAGTCTACAAGAGTTGTTTTGGAATGCTTATGATCTTCATTGGATACTGGAATAAGATCACTTGTCTTTATTCTTACTCAATGATACAATGGGTTATTTAACTTTGTTGTAATTAATTCACCAGTCAGCTGAAAGTATAGCTAGTAGCATAGTGAATGGGAAAACCTAAATTAGGATTCATGCACTTGTAATAATTTTCAGATGGGCTTCGTTTTTAGGGATAAGGTAGGTTGGTTCAAGTTTACTCTTGGTTATCTTCACGTTAGACTGGTTTAATATCCACTATTCTCGTGGAATGAGTTGAGCTCCTTTAAACGTATGTCCCACTGGGAAATTATATCTTTAGTGTTCTACCTTTTCAGTTAATATGTGTGTGGATACACCTTGGACACATTGTCGACCTGTAGAGATGTAAGGTTAACACTGTCTTCGAAACACGCATACAATATCTTAGTGTGATCATTCACTTGACCTCACCTGGCTAAAACAAAGAGTCGACGAGATACACCCTCCGTGTATCTGGCGACCCGATGGCTAGTTCTCGTGGAGTGGCAGGTGTAGGCGTAGCACTAAGTACGAGGGCAGAACAACCACTATTGAAGGGGGTCCCCGTTAACAGTCATCTATGTGCTGTTCCGCTTAACGGCTCCGTAAGAACTCGGAGGGATAGGGACACACGTCATTGCCTTTTCCTCATTCCTGCCTACGCTCCAACTGACTGTAGCCCAGATGAAGTGAAAGATGAATTTTACAGAAAGCTTTCTGAAGTTCCTCATAAGGCTAAACGCTCAGACATAGTACTCGTAGCAGGTGACTTTAATGTTCAGGTAGTTAGCTTAAACCAAACAGAAGGATATTTACGTGAGTGTTTTAGTATCCGGGTTCAGTGAACATTTAATGGTGATAGTCTGCTGCAAATGTGCTCAGGCAATCGTTTATTTTTAGCAAACACTAATTTTAAGCGTAAGGAGAGACACCGTCTAACAGAAGAGATAGAAAAGGCATCGGCTGTAGGCAACACCAGACAGCTTCCCATACTAATAAAAGAAACTGGAATTAAGGAGTCAAGTGTAAGATAGATGATCTCGGGAAAAGACCGCACTCTTATGTGCTCTCAATCCAGACGTTAAAAACGAGGAGTGGAACACTTTAAGGAGCAGTTCCGTTGGCCTTCAGCTACTCTACAACTACCCACTATTCTCAAACAACCCGAATGGAACATTGGAGTAGGTCCCCTGACTCTAATTGTACTTCAAAAAGCTATAGCTAATCCGAAACGAGGAAGGGCAGCTGGCTCAAATGGATTGGCTCCGGAGGTTTTTGAGGATGGTGGTCCAGTTTTGGCGACCAGGTTGACTACTATTTTAGATGAAATCTGGGAGTTGGACGTAATCCCATCTGACTGGTGACAATCACTTATCGTCCCAATACATAAGAAGCGGTCAAAATAATCCTGTGATAACCACAGAGGGATTAGTTTGATTAACATAGCATCTAAAATACTAGTCTCAATAGTTATCGGAGGCCTAACAAGGACTCGTGAACTGCAAACACGAGAAAACCAGACTGGCTTCAGATCTGATCGTGGCTGCATCGATCACATATTCACCATTCTTCAGGCTCTAGAACACAGACATGCTTATCTGCTTCCGACAACGATGGTCTTTCTTGACTTAAAAGCAGCGTTCGACTCCGTAGACTGAGAGGTTCTGTGGCAGTGTCTGTCATTGAAAGGCGTACCTCAGAAGTACATAAACCTTGTCAAGGCTCTTTACTCGAACACTACTAGTAGAGTCAGAGCCTATGGCGAACTGTCATCTGCTTTTGCAACCTCAAGTGGTGTCCGTCAAGGCTGTCTACTATCCCCATTTTTGTTCAACTTCATATAGACCTACTGATGGAAATAACGTTCTCGTCGACTGGATTTTCGGGCATTGATCTCCTACCAGGAGGACAACTTATCGACTTAGAATGCTCAGATGACATAGTCCTGTTTGGTGAAGACGCTGATCAAGTGCAGAATCTTTTAGTAGCACTGAGCAACAATGCCAGAATGTTTGGAATGTGCTTTTCCTCCTCCAAATGCAAGTTGTTGCGTCAGGACTGGCTTGTGTCAACACCTGAACTAAAGATAGGGAGTGAAGTAGTCGAACGCATCGACAACTTCACATATCTTGTAAGTCTGATCAGTCCTAATGGGTTGGTGTCTGACGAAATCTCAGAACGGATTCAAAAAACTTGTCCGGCTTTTGCTAACTTACGTCACCTATGGCAAAGGCGGGATATCCGTTTATCAATTAAAAGAACGAGTATGCTGTGCGGCAATTCGTTCTGTCCTACTTTACGGCAGCGAAACGTGGCCATCGTGAGTAAAAGATACTCGTGAGTTACTAGTATTCGATTGCAGATGTCCTATAAATACTGCTCGCATATGCTGGGATCACCGGTAAGTAATAGTGGGGCTAGATGCAGGGTATTGGGGTATGATGGTAAATCAGTTGACGACATTGTAAATCTTCATCGGCTGAGATGGCCGGGTCACGTGTTACGTATGTCTGAACATCAGTTACCATGACTAGTGTTGTGGATGGTTGGGAGAAAGTTAGGTGCGGTCGAACCAGCCAAAACGTGGCATCATTCATTGAGATCAATAACTTCTAGTCTTAGTCATGTTGATTAATGCAGACTACTTGCTTGGGGTCAGCGTGACTATCGTAATCAATGGTTGGAGACTGTGAGTGACATGGCTCAGAATCAATCACAGTAGCGTAAGTGTATACACTCTCTGTCTTCCCTTAAACTAACAGATTAAAATGACTTTATACCCTTATTTCTATGAACTGACTCTTTCTTCCTGTACTATGTTCTTATACACAATTCTTCTTTTATAAATCACTACCATTGAAGTAACTATTTCTATGAATATAGTGTTGATCTTGTTGTGTTAATGAGGTATGACAACTTTGACCGATGCATATATGTGCCTGGTCCTACGTTGTATCTGACTAACTTACTAACATTGCATATCTCGCGATTGATTTCTAATCTGTCTATCGTAGTACTGGATGAAATCACCACCGAAATGAATTTCAAATCTAATATCATTAAGTCAATAACTATTGTTCTGATCTACGTAAGTAAACGTAAACTACATAGTGAAGATCCTTTCAGTTACCGAAGTCAATAGTTGAAGACCTTGAATGACAGTTCAGAATCAACACCAAATAACTCAAAAACTACTCATTACTCATTTTCTCCTGAATCCTAAATTTCAAAATTATCTTGAATATTTTATTCCACGAATTCATAATTTCTTTTTGGTTTAGATTCAGTATATTCATTTTATTATTAACATAATGAACAAATTTTAATAGTTGAGATCATGAGTCAATTGAAGCTAGACAACCATGGAAAACCTAGAAGCACTAGACGGCCGTTTCGTCATATTGTGAGACCCCACAGTATTACTTATCTATGACCCCGCCTAGCGAGTTTCGAATCCAGGACCTATTAGTCTTACGCGTGAGCGCTTAACCTCGATACCAATGAACCAATATCCGATGATTTTAATGCCTAGCTTCAACTAATCCACGAAATTGAGCCACACATCCGCCATTGTCATCAGTAAGACTGATAGGTCTTGGGTTTGAATCCCACGTGGCGGGATCTTGGATACATACTGCTGAAGAGTCCTACAATAGAATGAAACATCCATCCTATGCTTCCAGATTTTCCATAGTTGTCTAGCTTCAATTGATTCATATTCACAATTATTGAAATGACTACAATCTCCAGAAAACCCCCCTTCTAAAAATAAATATTAATTCATTTTTATTGTATGATAACTATTATAATTTTGAAAAAAAAATTTTTAAAAAAATATATATCATTCAAATTTGGTAACTAATTACTCTGATTTAAATCAATAAAATGTTCATATTACAAGAAAAGGGAAGAAAGGTAACTATTCAATTACTGTTACTAACAGTTCACGGTTAATAGTTTAATGAATTGTTTTATGAAATCTATAAATTTAAGGAATAAAAAGAAAACAATACTTGTAATGATTGTAATGATAAATAAGGAACAAATAATTAATGATAGTAAAGATGGATAGTAGTTAGTAGTGAAAGTTAGGATGCGTGTTTCGTTCTATTTGAGATTGGTCAGCCAAATGTATCTGCATCTCAAAGAGTTGATGCTCACTCTGGGACTCGAACGCCATCACGTTATCTATTTATCTACTGAATCCTGATAACCAATTGTTGTGCTCCAAAAACGCTGATCACTTATACTCGGAACGAGAGACCACGGCAATTCCCCCAATGCGAAAATAAGAACACAAGACTGGTATAAGTGAAGATTTATTAGCCCCAAAACACTATGACAACGACGAGTCGAATCTAGTCTAAAATACACCTGTTTATATATTGATTGTACACCCATTTTGATTAGCAATTAGGATTAGATCACATACTCAGTTATAACAAATCACTTACTGAGCATAGTTCATGTCAAGTGAATACAAGAATACCGTATATTATACAGAAGAAAATATAATACTGGGAAAACAAATCAAATACTACACTGAATGATCCTCATGTTGAATCAAAACGGATGTTGAATGTTGAATAAAACTCATAATGAGTAATTCAATCGAAAATTCATTTTTTTCCCATCATATCAAGCAATAATTAATCTACTGGGTATAACTTGAGTTCTAACATGGGGTGAAGTTTAAATTCATTTGGTAGGTAAGTGGATAATGATGTGGCGTATGAAGCGAACGGTATTGAGTTCGAGTCCCAGAGTGAATATCAACTCTGAGATGCAGATACATCTAGCTGACAAGTCTTAAATAGGACAAAACTCGTGTCCTGGATTCCACTGCTAAGCACTATCCATCTTTACTTATAATCCTTGTGAATTAAATCAATATCGAGGCGAACTTAAAGATGGTTTTCAGGATAGAATGATGATTGGTGGAATCTGGGTAGTGTGTTTCGTCTTAATTGAATCTTGTCGATTGGATCTACCTTCACTTCAATGTTTAGGTATACATTAAAACTTAAACTCTATACCTTTTTCTTCAAATGTTAATATATTATCTATTGAGCTACTGAGAATGGATTATCACTAATTTATCTAATGAACATGAGATTCTTAGCCTAAAACTTATCTTAATTCTCTCCAAAAGATTCAGTCATTAATGTTAACAGCAGGAGAATTCAGCTCATTTCTACACATAAAAGACGTTGTAATCTATCTACAGTTAGCTGTCTTTCATCTGATTTACATACTCTGACTTAATAATTATCATATTTCTAAAGGATATTTATGACGGATCGATGTTAGCTGCGATAGTATTAAGAACCAAGGAGGATGGGACAGCTTTTCAGCCTCAGATTAAGAATTTTCAAAAGTAAACATACAGGACCTCAACTGGACCTTAAAGTTGCACGACAAGTGCGTAACTTATTCCTATAACTAATTCACATCGTGAAAATTCCCTCAATGACTATACCGATGTAAAGCACGGTAACTTGAACTGCTTCAGACATATATAATGTTCTCATTGTTTTACGACTGATTCATCAGATCAAAGATTTCTACTGATCACTGATAACTAACTATGTTATCAGAAAATGAACACAAGATTGCATTATTTCTAACATGGTAATAATATGCTAAGAATACAATTTAAACATACATATGGAACTAGTTATACATTGATTACAGAGAGTAAGTGCTTTTTTTCGTTAATTGATTGCCATTAGACTGATCAATCCAACTATCATGTAGAATATTCGTTGACATTTTAAATTTGTAGCTGAGAGCAGAATTTAAAGAAATAAAAGGTAGAAAAAAAAACCAACAAACGCTGTGAGTGAATTCCTCAATGTAGAGTAGTTATACTAAAAAATATTAAGCGCTCTGGCGCGAGACGGATAGGTCCTGGGTTCGAATCTCGCGAGGCAGGATCGTGGATGCATAGTACTGAGGTGTCGCACAGTAGGACGAAACGGCCATCCAGTGCTTACAGATTTTCCATAGTGGTCTAGCTTCATTTGATTCATGATTTCAACTACTAAAATTAAATAGTATTCATTTAGGATATTCTATTTTCAATCTACCACTCACAAGACTGGTCTTTCACAAAACAATATCCACCTCCATACCAAAATGTGTCATTCATAGATAAGTAAACGAACCGAAGCCTGCTTTATGCGTTACAGACAAAACGGATCAATTGATAGATGAATGAGTGAAGGACAGAAACCCTCATCATTGGGTCATTGGTTCAAATCTTGCTCCATTTAATTCGGTTTTTTAATTAGGCAGTATCCCTAGTTCATACATAAGATGTTTGACCCATAGTCAAGTAATCAAATCATAAAACAACTAGGATTTAGAACATAGAAAATTGTGTTTCAACTTGAAGATCGTAGACAAAGATAATACCTTTCCAACACTCCTTGGTTTTCAGTGCTTCTGTAGTTGATGTCAGTTCATGGGGAAAATTAAAGTGTCATTGTAAATCATCTTTAAAAAAGAGATGTAGTAAGTCCATCTTATTGTAGAATAAAAAAATATTGGGAGATTATCCGACTAAGTGTTTAAAAGTGCGAAATTGAGCCATAAGTTTGTATACCCCAAATCATTTCAATGACTAATCAAAGAAATGTTTATAATTCGAAGGGAGATAACGTGAAATAACAAATTACAATGAAAATAATTTAGGTGACATATTATCAGGTAAAGATTTCAAAAATGGTTACCTTTTTTAAATAGGTTGTTACAATAAATACCTGGGATTTGGGACATATAAAAGTAACTGCACCAGCTTTGATACTATTATTATTAGTCTTATTCTGATGAGATTTATATAACTGAAACAAATGAGTGAGATGCCGTGACCGGTGGAGTTCAATCGTGTCAAATGTGAGGCAATTGCCTACCGAAGACAGTGGGAGATGATTGCTCAATATCCTGGATTGATTGGAGTTTGATACCAACACTACCAGATGCCATTTAGTGGTCTGTAGGCTAAGCGCTTATGTGCAAGGCTCAAGGTCCTGAGTTTAACTCCTGCGTGTGGGCCCTTGATTAAGCATTGATGACAAGTTCCACAGTAAGCCAGCACGAACACCAAGTGCAAATGGGTTATTCCAATAAGCTTAACAAATCTAGTCACACCATATGTCTATAAGTATGTGCTAGGTCAGGGCTAAATGATCAGTGAGCATTATTGAAAGATAGTCCTTTTGGTTAAGATTTGGCCCAGTTATCTGAGTTTTGTTTCATAATTGATTTCTATGGCCAATGTAGCCTCCTATTTATCCGTATCAATCTGGGATAGCTTACGGAATCAAAAACCGGATGATAGCCCAAAATAGCATAGTTATTGAAATTTTTTAATTACAAGTGTTCCATATGAGTTCTGATTTATGCATACAAAACATGTAAAGAAAATACAAAGTATAATTTATCAAAAAAAACAAAAAAAAACAAACGTACCATCGTTTGTGATTATGTCAGTACCTGTGGATGAAATAAATGTTCAATGAAATATATTACTTAATAAATAATGATAACATATTCTGAAAATAATAATAACAAAATTCACGCCAGTACATTTTTCACGGGTATTTCATCAATGAGAGGTGTCAGCCCGTAACCTTTACTTCTTTTTATGTGGATATCCTTCGGCTGAAGCCGTCCACGACTGACGCCAATCAGAATTCAATAAATTACAACAATGTGCACCAGAGCACATAAAGCAGAAAAGACACTAGCTTTCAAGTGGACCGACATGTATCTGATCTCGGCCTGTCTAATAATAATTTATATTCTGAAAATAATAATTACAGAATTCACGCCAGTTTACAGGGCTGATCAATTTGATATAAATAGTAACATTAGATGTAGGGAACAAACATGTGATAGAAGAAAGTTTTAAGTATACTAGTTCAGTAATTGTTTAGGTAGTACATGTATTACAGTGATCCAATGCATCAGCCGGTAACTTTTAATATTTCTTAAATGGACAGTCTGTTGATTTATGAACCGAGTAATTAAGGTCATTTCGTGTGCCAGATCGAAATAATGATAATTATCTACAACTAGAGAAATTAAAACGAAAACATAGAGCACGGGAAAACAAAGCAGTAATTACCAAACTATATGAATCAGGTCTACTTAAATGCGTGTGTCATGTGACCCAGTGATATACTGTTTATGTTATTCAAATTAGTTAAACTTGCTAGGGACGGTGTTAACATAAAGTGACAGCAAGTAGGTGGTTTTACTTAGGGAATGCACTAATAAAAATGGCTAAACATTCATAGTTCCTATAATACTACTTGTGGAATGAGATACACTTACAGGTGCTAGACCATTCAATGCATTTTCAAAGGAGCAGTATGCATCGATGCAGCGAACAAATAATGGGAGTGATTTTATCGTACGGATAGATTGTGGTAGGTTATTCCAGAGTCTAGAAAATTTACAGGTGAAGTAATTCATATAAAGAGATGATTTAGAATGAGTTTGTTTCACTAGTGCCAAGGAATTACGGATGTCATAATGAGAGGTTTCTGCATATTGAATCGCGTGATCGGATGTAAACGATAGTTTATGAAGTAGTTTGAAGAAAAAGATAAGATTTAGTTTGAGTCTCCTCCTCCATAAAGGGTCTAGCCCAAGTTTATTACATCTAGAATTATAAGTTAAGGTACAATCAGCTCCAAGAATACGAAGTGTAAATCGTCTCTGTACTGATTCCAGCCTTAATTTATCCTTTATGAGCGCACTGCTAAGAATAAACGTGCAATATTCTAGAAGAGGTCGAGCACAAACTTTGTACATTAGAATACGTGACTCAGTGTTGTAAAGATTTCGAGTTATGTAACCTATTAGACGTTGAGACTTAGAGGTCTGTTTTAATATATGTTCTGTAAACGACAAGTCTTGGGAATATCTAAGTCCTAAGTCTACTACTGTATGTAACCTAGATAACACTTCTCCATTTATGGTAATGTCTAGGTTGAGTGATGTATCGCCGAAGCATATCCATCCACATTTAGCCGTATTAAGCTCCAGTTGCCATTTTAAGCACCACTGTGCTACCTTGTTAAGCTCCATGCTGATGCAATTTTGCATATTTTTCAGCTCATGTGGAGAAAATGAATATACTACTTTAAGATCATCTGCATATAGAAGGGGCTTACCGACACAAAAACTTTCACAAATATCATTGATAAACACTAAAAAGAGCAAAGGACCTAAGACACTACCTTGTATTACACCACTTCTAACAGGGACAGCGTTAGACAATGAAGAGTTAATTTTAACTATTTGATGTCGATTGCTGAGAAAGGAATCAAGCCAAGCAAGCAAAGGATTTTGAACCCCATAAGATGCGAGCTTACCTATAAGAAGTTGGTGGCTAACCATGTCAAAGGCTTTAGAAATGTCCAGATATAGCACTAAGACTAGATATCCTTGGCTACGTAGAGAATAGACTAAATTAAAGAAGTCAAAATGACATGTCATGCAAGAACGATTTTTAAGAAATCCATGTTGAGTATCATTGATAAATTTTCCAGCAAGTAAATAGTTGGAAAGTTCATCACTTATAATTTTTTCCATAATCCTAGAAATAACTGGAGTAATATTTATTGGCCGGTAATTGTTCATGTCAGTCTTATCTCCAGATTTGTAACGTGGTATGATGTACGCGGTTTTCCAACAGTAAGGGTAAGAACCGGTTTCCATAGAGAGAGTAAACAGCTTTAGAAGAAGAAGTGGAATATCTGGACCACCATATTTGTAGAGAAAGGATGAAATTCCGTCTACTCCATGACCTCGAAAGCTTAAGGGTATTTATAGCCTTATTAATTTTCATGCATGTGAAGGAGATAGATTTTATTGAGTCTAAATCGCTTCTCAGAGTCAATACTTCTCCAGAAGTTACGTATCCAGTTTGCCGAATTCCCTTACTTACATTGTTCAAATGCAAGAGGCTGTTCACTTTATGGGTATGGATAGGCTCACCACGAAAATTATACTGCCTTGCTCGGATTTTCAAGGACCAACAAAAGCGTTCCGGACACCACAAGAAACGTAGTACTTTATATGTGAATGTTATGATATGAAAAAATTTCTTTCTTTTAAAGTTTGCACTCAAAATAAGTTGAATTAGTTATAATTTTTTTCTTAAAAAAACAAAAAGTCAATTTATTTAAGATAATTTTTAGTCACTGAGTGTGTATGGGTCTTTAAGCTGGATTCAATACTCATAAATCGACAATAATGTTTGACATTAACACTGCTGAATGCCAGCTTAGTTGTCTAGCGTCTAAGCATTTGTAAGTGAGGTCAAAGTATTTGGATTAGATTCCCGCGTATGAGCTCATGGACGCGCACTTTTGAAGAGTTCTACACTAGAATGATGCAAATGTCGATTGCTCCCAGATTTTCAGTGGGACTCTAACATAAATGGATTTGTGATTTCAATGAAACTCAACTGTCTCCACAAGTCTAAATCAATCTAGAAACTTTCATCTGAATACATTTTAGGATATAAATCAATTGAGTGATCAGTTAAATGAAAATATATATTAGAGTGAAGAAGATTTGTAGCTCACATGGATGGTTTTGATGGAGTTTTATTCTCTGAGCTCGATGGTCTAGTCGTGGAGCTTTTATCGTTCTTCTGAACGTTATCATTAGGTTTTGCACTGCTTCTGCGATAAGTGCTGATATTGGTGATCCCATCTGTGTCCCTTTTGTTTGTTCGAACACTTTACTTCCACCTGAAGTTCGTGCTGATGATGTTGTTAAGAAGAACGATGGAAGCTCCACAACTAAACCATCCATCACAGAGAACAAAACTTCATCAAAATATATTAGAATAAATGAAAACTGATATTTACAAATGAAATGGAATGATATAACTTACTAGAATAACTGGGGATTGTAGTATCTAGAAAGTGAAAAAGTGAATAACAAATAAAATAAACACTGAAATATTTTGCTATTGTTACAATAATGTAATTAAGATGAATAATTATGAACTGTTTAATGATTGCTCGCTTGGTGTTGTTTTACTCATATCTTCACCCCGTTGCGAAAGCAAGTGACCATCAGGACTCGGTAGCTAAGTGGGTAACGCAATGGCATTTGGAGCTAACGGTGTTGGTTTCGAGTTCTAGAGTGAACATCAAATCTGAGATGCAGGTACACCTAGATGACGAGTCTCGAATAGGACGAAACCCTCGTCCTGGATTCCACTGCTAGCCCCTATTCATGTTTGCCTAAAATGTTTAGTGATTATTTTCATATTTTTATTTACGTAGATGATAGTGATAAGAGATCAATGACATAGTGATTAACTTCGATTGGCCTATTCGATAATAATAATAATATTAATAATTGGGGCAATACTTGTGATAAATCATTTAGTTACTTTCAAAATTAGCGTTATGAACCTATTAATCAACAATATTCAGCTCAAAACAACACTAGTTGAGATGTCAGTGAAATCTTAGTAGCAATTTACGAATGTTTTACTCATATATAAAATTCATCAACAAACTTGACAAATATTAGGGATATGATATTGATATTTCAGAGTGATTGTGCTATCCATAAACTTCAGAACTAACTCGAATTAGAGTCTAATAAAGTTTACTTCCAGTTCCAAGCCCGGATAAAGGAGGATGGTTGAACATGGGTTTACCGACTCTATTCTGTGAACAAGAAAATTGTTAATAATATACGGTAACCAGAAAGAATCACTTTAGCCATTTGAACTCTATCTTAGGAGTTGAAGGACCTATATTTAGTAGTGTCATGATGCCTCATAGTGGAAGCTGGGATTCTTCGGAAATCATGAGGCTGATTTTTCTTCTGAAAACCCGAGCAACAACTGCACCGGGAATCAAAGGCATAAATTAAGATTCTAAATATCAAATGGGGACATCTTGAAACGAAAGCCCAGGAGTGCATTGGCTAAATATCCCTAGTCGGTACCTTATGCATCACGAGAGGTAACAGGCTTTATACGAGAGGCTCCAATCGGTCACAGAGAAGTGCCCTGAAAAGTAACTAATGGAAGACCAAAACGCTAAAGTCGGAATGGACAACATCGGGTATGGAGATATCATGGGATGACATGAACTGATTGGGTGAAAGGAATGAGAATGGTGATGGATACTAATACACCATATTTAATTAAAACATTTTTTGAGATCTTGTTAAAAGATGTTTATATTCAACTACCTGTTTGTTTTGTCATGTCTTCATTTTAAACATTGTCCATATCATGATCGTATGGATAGATTATGTTCCACCAGGAGAGATTAAACGAAAGTCTTTTAGGTGAGTAAATCTTTGAACAGAAGTTATGCAGCTCAGTACATAACTTACAACTGAGGTTATCCGTAACGTTCACAAAATGTACGTTGTCACTTTCGGTCATTTTTCATTTGATGCACTGCATTTGGCTGTGTATTTGATGTGTAAAATGTGATTGGTTACTGAGCGTGGACAAACAGACATCCAGATAACTGACTATTTTATGTTTTCATAGAAGCTGAACTTGTACACCGTTGGATACCGGTTCAGTTGTTTAGAGGCTAAACTTTGGAGCACGAGGCGTAGATGGCGATTACTGAGATGTTTCATACTAGAGCGAACGTCCGTTCAGGGCTACTCGGTGTCCAATAGTTGTCTAACTATAACCTAACCTATACCCTGATTCACTATATAACTGGTCATGGATCAAGTATTTGACATAACGTGATTCCAGTCCGTGTATAGCGTGTCGATCAAGTATATAGTATAGTGGTAGTATAATCCTGGTCACCGGTTGTATGATCCTATTATAGTAGAGGATCTTGTTGAAAAGGAAGTATTTTTATTCAATTGTTCTACCAATATTATTATGTAACCTTGTTGTATCCCGATAGGAATGATGAACGGTAATTTTTGGGATCCATTTATGGACCAATATTATGAGTATATTTTTATCGTTTAATTGTTATGTAACTAAACTGTTCATATTCATGTCCCTCTTATTGTGAGCTTTATTTTGACCTATGAACTATTATTATACGATTTACCATTCATGAACTATTCCGTGTCTATTAATCACTACCTCCCTCCTTCACAGCAACATCTGGCTAATTCCTGTACAAATTTTGTTCATATTTTATTGGTACCTTGTGGTCGGTTTGTTTGGTATCTTAACTCAGTATGCTTGAAATATAATGATTCATATCTCAGAGGCTGAGACTTGCGTTCTGGACTCAACTGGCTAGACTAGACAGGGAAGCGGGACCAATCAGGACTCTAGGTTGTTCTCACGTGTTTTACGCGTCTTTGGTCCGATCGATTATACACTACGCTGCCATCTCATCTACAGTTATAACGAATATTCATAAAGATTTTGATCTGAAGACCAAATGTTTACTATATATCTGTATCTTTCTCCCAGAACTTTGGCCGACACTATGCTATACTACACATTTTCAGAGCGGACAGTCGGGAATAACTCCAACCATAAATCAGTCGATATAAAATATAAACTAACAAGTAATCTATTTTGTAGAAGAATCTTCATTTCATTCAGATATAACTGATATACACATTTTGATGAATAATTAAACTTACAATTAGTGTCATCTGTGGTAGAGTCTGAAATTGGATAAAGACACAAGAAACAAGAAACATTAAAGTAACACTATAAAACATTCATTATTATCATTGGTGGCTTTATTCAATATTATATTTTTGGTACAAATATAGAATTCTCAGCATAAAGTATTTCAACAAGTTTCCGTTTCTTATATCTTGATCGATCCTGACAATAAGTATTAACTGATCTCCAGTTAGATGTTAGCAGATCAAGAATCGACATTTGAACAACGTTTATTCTTTTCAATGCATACCGTTGCCAGGAACCATGATGTCACTGGTTAAGCTTATTTGTAACTTGTATAGTGAAATGTCGTAAACTTGTTACAAACTCGCCTGAATACGTTATGCGATTAATGGGCATAATGATATATTAAAACAAACAAGAAATCAGATAACTTGTTGAAATATCCAGATGGTAGGAACAGGTAGCCCAGATATTCAAACAGGCCGCCTAGTATTTATTAGTATGAAAAGTTAACTACTGTCCCAATTGTTAGTCTAAAAGTCTATCTACAAATTAATCAGATCATATCCAAAGTATTTCACGATTATTAGAATAAAGAACTAATGTTTTTGAGTAGTAAAGTTTTGTTTACTTGTAATTCGATATGTAAATGATTAATGTATACCAAGATTTTGAATTAATATCATCGGTTAGTTAGTCAGCTATAACGTAGGCTTAGGCACATATATGCATCGATCCAAGTTGTCACATCTCATGAGCATAACATGATCAACACCGAATTCATAGAAGTAGTTAATTCAATGGTAGTGATTTATAAAAGAAGAATTATGTATAAGGATACATTACGGGAAGAAAGAGTCAGTTCGTAGAAATAAGGGTATAAAGTCATTTTAATCTCTTAGTTTAAGGGAAGACAGAGCGAATACACTTACGCCACAGTGACTGATTCTGAGCCATGTCACTCCCTGTATTCAACGATTGGTTACGATAGTCACATGGACACCAACCAAGTAGTCTGCACCAATCAACATGACTAAGACTAGAAGTTAGTGACATTGTGGACTGATACCATGTTTTGGTTTGACCGCACCTAACTTTCTCCCAACCATCCCCAATACTAGTCATGGCAATCGGTGTTCAGACATACGTGACACGTGGCCCAACCATCTCAGCCGATGAAGATTCAAAACCTCATCAACTGATTTACCATCACCTCACTATTACGTACCCGGTGATCCCAGGAGATGCGAGCAATATTTCTAAGGCATGTGGTCAAATACTAGTAGCTTACGAATATCTTCTACTCTTAATGGCCACGTTTTGCAGCCGTAAAGTAAAACATAATATACTGCCGCACAGTATACTCGTCCCTTAATTGAATTGCCTAAACGTTTTTCATTGTGGTCACTGAGATGAAAAGACTTTGGAAAATTATTTACTAAATACAAGTAATTCATGAAAAAATTAATTTCGTTTTTTCTTTTAAACATTGGCTTAACTAAACAGTCTTAAGTTAAAAATTATAATATGGATTTATGGCTTAAAGTAAACGGAATGACCATTAAAATGGATTAGATATCAATATGCTAGAAAATCAAATGAACATAATCAAGATATTACTTATATGGGATAATGATAAATAAGAAATAATTTCAATAGTTGAGATGATGAATCAATTGAAGCTAGATCACCATGGAAAACCTGGAAGCAGTGGACGGCTGTTTCGTCCTATTGTGAAACTCCTCAACAGTGAGAATCCACGATCCCGCCTCGCAGGATTCGAACCTACATGGATTGAATTTAACTACTAGGCTAATGTTAACGTTTTAGTATTAACTGCGATATCCATGAAAACCATGAGTACCAAACGAAACATCCACAAGTAGAATGTTCTATATGGAACTTACTTTCCTCTTCTGGTTTATTGGCTGAAATAAATAAATTGAAGTAAATTCAGTATTACATGTAACTTTAGATATGCTTATCTAGATATAGCAATTCATATTACAATACATGGTACATAAGTAAGCCATATTTTGTCAAATGGTTTGTCCATTAGCAGAGTATTTATGCAAATTAGCCTAATTAATAGGAGTTAACAAGTGATAGTTTTCTGAGTCAATTTAGAATCTGTTATCAGATGTTTCAACAATACGTAACCACAATTTCAGAAATGAATAAATTTGCAAACTTTAGTGAACTAATAATGCTCTATATCTTGTATAGTTCGTTTACAAATATAGTCAATACATGATGATATACCTAGAGTTTCATCTAATATTATCAGTGAATTGTAGTCTATCATCTAAATTTCTTAACTCCGCCTGGAGTCCCTCAGGGGGCTACTGCCGGTTCCAAGCCCGGATAAAGGAGGAGGGTTGGGCATGGGGTTAGCGGCCCCATCCCGTAGAAAACCAACTCGCTAAAAAAACGCTAACCAGAAAATCTAAATTTTTTGAGTCCCACAAAACCTGCAAGAGATTCACTTCGAACGTATTTGTCATTAAGCGTATTACCAACATGTAGATATGTTATAAATGAAGATGTCTTTAATTTGAATACAGTTTTTTTCACCGATTAAAATCAGATTTGTTTATTAGTTTTAATAGTCGAGATCATGAGACAATTGAAGCTAGACCAATATGGAAAGCCAGTGGAGTCCAACCAGGTCTGTTGTGAGATAGTAACTCACTGATAACAATAGTGGATGTGTCACTCAATTTTGTGGATTAGTTGAAGTTAGACATTAACACCGTTGAGTGCCGGTCGGCTCAATGGTATCGAGGCTAAGCGTTCACGCATGAGACTGATAAGTCCTGTGTTCTAATCTCATGATCATGGATGCACACTGCTGAGGAGTCCCGAAGTAGGGCGAAACGGTCGTCTAGTGCTTCTAGGTTTTCCATGGTTGTCTATCTTCAAATGACTCATGATCTCAACTATTAAAATCACTAAAACCTTCACATAACCCCTTCTGATATTCATTTTAAAATGATAAAAATGTTCATTAGTAAACTATGTTCATGTCTACTACATAAAAGTAATATGTTTAACTATATGATCATATATAAATTTATAAACAACCATAGGTATTTAAACGGTGATATATTTTTAGTTTATGATTATTTTCTTTCCGAATGAAGAATAAATGATTGGTAACTGCTAGGAGTTATTTATGAGCTATTATTACATATATTTCTTTTATCATAATCTTTCACTTGACCTGTTGACTATTGATGTACAATTTACTATTCTTAAGTTATTCCCAGTTTATTAGTTACGGTATCTCATATTCCCAGTCACTTTTAGCTGGATCTTTTATAATAATTATTTTTCCTCTTATGGTGTGATGTGGTCTGGTTTGTTTTTATATAAGCCAAGTATTTCTGAAATATACGATTCACACAAACAAAACTGATATTTGTGTTCTGGACTGAACAGGCTGAATTAGGCGCGAAGCTACAAAACAAAGGACCAATAAAGATTCAGAGTTGACTCAAGGTTACTAGTGCTGTTTGACGTATCATTTGTTTTAGCACAGGGATAAGATTATAGAGGTCGGTATACTATTAGTGATGTTGTCACTTGATACTTAACAAGCAATAAGACATAGTACCTCAGGTAAGTAATTCAAGCACAGTCTTATACATTCAACCTTTCAGTTGAAAAGAAGTTACAGACATCATGAACTACCTAACGATTTAATATCTCACTGTTTATTACAAATATGTGTATAAATAATCAAATTGAAATGAAGCTTTAAAACTACACTCACTGAAATCACTTGTTGTACTGGTCATTGTTGTATTATCTATAAATCCAGATAATCATAAGAATGATATAATATTAGAAAATAGTCGGAACTTAAACTGGACAAAGAGAATAGTTAAGGATTACTTGACTTATCCCAATGTACTTTAATGATCATTATATGTCTATTCAGTGTTTAGCAACTAAATTAGATGATACATTTAAATAATGAATAGTTTATATTGTGAATAGTAAGCAAATGATTCAGAAACTTATTGAATAATAATAATGAAGAAATTGTTCAGTCAGTCAGTAACAACGTAGAACTTCGTACGTACGTACGTACATCAGTTCGAGTTGCCATACCACATTATCACAGAGGTGCAGTTGGTAAAGGTAGTGAGAGTATAAGCAGTAATCCGAAAGATTAGGGTTTGAAGATATCATTCAAGGAGTATAATCCAGTGAAATAAATTTGGAAACAAAATAATGGACATGAAGGATTCAGAAGATTGGAATTTGGGAGAACACAAAGAGTGGATGCACCTGAATCATTGCAAACGATTTTGAGCCATGTCATTCAGGATCTCTAACCATCGGTTGCCATCATCTCGCGGATCCCAACCAGATAGTCTACACCTACCAACATGACTCAGCCCAGTTGTCAGTGACTTTATGGATTTGTGCCAGAAAAAATTGTTATATTCAATATTGATTAAAGATTACATTAAATAAGAAGTTGGTTATATGTAAATATGTTAACAGCCTTTAAATGAAAGTGTGAAATTCTTAGAAAACTGTTACAGAACCATTATAAATAGAGGAAACTTTAATTTATGGACGAACCAATCAGGTATGAGATAATGGATTTCGGATTTTGGCGCAGAATTCATGAAGTCATTTGGCTAAATAGAGTTTCAGCATTATAACTCATGTCAGTTCGTGATGGAAACCGTAAATCTAGTTCCTAATCTTAACTACCAGCTGTAAATCATAATCGTAATTCTTCACACTACTTTATAACTTTCATTTAGTTTTAGTAAGTAGGTGGACATTTTTGAGATCACTTTAGCGTCACTCAAAGGTTGTTCATAGGTTATAGTCACACCAATAAGTTTGCAGTTGTCATAAACTGAGATTATTTGAGATACAATCAAAGAATATGAAAATCTGGATAGGATTTGAAGGGTAATTTCTAATTCACATCAATAGCTTAAATAAACTTCTGATATTATGTAGTGTAGATTTAGTACAATAATATCTAATGTAGTTTGTCAATATGATGATTTTATTTTCTTATACCATAATCAAGATAGGTGATTATCTTTTGAGTTCTTAGCAAACTAAATTTATCGATAAACTGATGAATGTGCCAGTAGTCCCAGACAAAGACTTCAGTATAATTACAAGTAATGGATACAACGCTGTTGGAAATTCCCTTAAGGAGATTTAAATGTCCAATGTAATATTGTAATGTAATTCGTTTAGTAAGGATAGTTTTATTTACTCGACTTTGAGTTGCATGATCTATGCGAAACAAGTTAGTAATAAACAGTTAGTCAGACCTACTTAGTACCAACAGGGGTTTTGTGGAGATTTTATAGTTTTTATAGTTTTTTTTATAGTTTAATCCATGAGTCATTTGAAGCTAGACCACCATGGAAAACTTGGAAGCACTGGACGTCCGTTTCGTCTTAGTATGAGACTCCTCAGCGGCGCACATCCACGATCCCGTCTCACGAGATTCAAACCCAGGACCTATCAGTCTCACTTTATTTCCTTTACATAAAACAATCTAAATTCTGAAGTAATTTAACCGGGTCTGTTGTGAAATAGTAACTCACTGATGATAATGGTGGATGTTTTGCTCGATTTTGGGGATTAGTTGAAGTTAGACATTAATACCGTTGGATGACGTCCCGCTCAATGGTTTCGAGGTTAAGCGTTCACGCACGAGACTGATGGATCCTGATTTTTAATCTCGCAAGGCGCGGTCTGGATGCGCACTGCTGAGTTACACAGTGGGACGAAACTGAGGTCTAGTGCTCCTAGGTTTCCCATGGTGATCTAGCTACAAATGAATGATAATCTCAACCATCCAGCCTAATTAGTTGGAATGTGATTATAACATGTGATTGACAAATGAGAAATTAATTCACATTTTACTCAGTCTATCAAGCAATGAATTTTCAAACTTGATTCCAGAGAACAGTTACCTTAATGTGTATCTCTTTCATTTTTTAAATATCAATTTAGCAATATACAGGAGTTAGGTTAAAACAATTCGGTTACAAAGAGAATTATGTAACTTACCGAAAGTGGGAGGATCTGCCATATTTTATAGAACAATAAAACCGAGAGAGAACAAACTGTTTGAATAAAGTAACTCGATAACGATATATTATGTTTGAATTTATATCTATTCCTTTAAATACGTTGTGATTCGTATTGATAACAATGTCGGAATTCAAAACACTGTATAGGATGTTATCAGTTATATCAGTGTATACAAGTAACAACTATATGAAGGGAATGATTGTAGATCAAGGAAATTTCAAACTGTTAGCGGGACATAGACTGGATTAAAGCATGCTCAATACATGATTGCTTTGATGCACGCTGATTGACTGATTCTTATCCAATCAGCACTAGTCGATACTTGAAGAATACTCTAGAATCTTCTCATGAGAAAACTATAAATATACTAACGTTTTCCCTATTGTGCTACTGACTTGCTTCTTACTTCCATCTAACCTTGTTATTCGGAATATAATCTCTTTCCTGTTCAACCGTGTTCTGATTTGGGGACTTGTCGAGTGAATCGGTGTCCGAGAATACTAAGCAATAGAAATAGCTGGGTCATAACTGTAAGAAAGAGATTATAACACAAACATACTAAAGAATATAAAGATATATGTCATTCATGTCTAAATAGAATCATTAGACAGATGGAAGTAGATATAAGCGATCAATCTATGTGGGGAAGATCTATCAGTTACATGGTCAAAGTTCAAGAGAACAAAGAAAACAGCAAAAATCCAAAGAAATATAAAAGTGGTAAATCTTACTAAGACGACCAATCACTAACAAATTCATTAGAACGGACTGATTTAGTGCATGTGAAAAGATTCTTAAAAAGCTCACTTTCATTTGAAGTAAAGGTTGATGATGTTGTTCAAAATGATAATGAATGCCTTTCAATTCGGCATTTCACTTAATGGAACGTAGCATTACTAAAAGTACTTACTTTAGCTACAGATTATTTCTATCATTTCAATAAAAAATATATTCTGAGTAATTCTAGAGGATCATGTACTTTTAATCATGTGTCTAAAATGGTCTAGATATCTGTTTTATCTCCTTGACCTTACTTTTATTGACGTTAGCACCTTAAGTCAGACCTATAATTTATTAGAATTTTATTACACTGACGTTATTCTTAAAATATACTGATCTTACTCCTCATCTATATGTACATCACTTTCAATCCACTATACAGTTGTAAAGTGAGCAAACTGTTACAAATCATTCGTTAGAATTCGGTCAATTTTAAATATTAGAAAAGAAGACGGTGATTTAATTCATTATTCTATTGTTTGTTTGAATCTTCCCATTGATGTTTAGGTCTGCAGTTGATCAGTTTCTTATCGGCATAAGTGTATACTGTACAGATTACATCGATATTGCCTTAAGTCACAAGCATCGTAAACAAAGATGGATCAAGGCTAGGAGTGGAATCAAGGACGCACGTTTCGTCCTATATTTGGACTAGTCATCTGGATGTACCTGCATTACAGAGTTGATGTTCATTTTGGTACACAAACCCAGTACCGTTCACTTCAAACGCCATGACGTTATCCACTTAGCTACTAAGTCCAGATAACCACACCCATCGTGGATTCCACTACTACCTCTTTGCTTATAAAAACGATGATTGTTATAAAGTGGCAGATTTATTCTCAACGAAATTCAATCACAGTTCGGTTTACGCAATGATAACTTCCAGGAATCTGACAGTGGAAAATAATGTTTCTAATTCTGCTGAAAATGCTAGTTCTTTCCAAAATTTCGTGACATTTTGACAAATGTTAACAACCATGAAATTGATCAATTCATTTCAATTAAGAAAAATACGTAAGTACATGTTACACAATAAAAAAATATAATTTTCAACTCCCATTGAAAATATATGACAAAGTCTTAATGAAACTTTAAAAAAATGCTTAAATGAAATACATACAGTTATGAACAGATTCCAGTGGAGGAAGAAATCAGGGAAAAGTGCTGGAAATGGGTACGACACACACTGAGGAAAGTACCCAATTGCATCACAAGGCAAGCTCTCACATGGAACCCTCAAGGAAATAGGAGAAGAGGCAGACCGAAGAATACATTACGTCGAGAAACGGAGACAGAAATAAGAAGAGTGGACAGCAATTTAATAGAACTAGAAAAGGTATACCCAAGACAGAGTGGGTTGTAGAATGCTGTTCGGTGACCTATGCTCCATCGAGAGTGACAGGCGTAAATGAGTAAGTAAGTAAGTATGTAAGTAATGAACTGATCAGACTTACCAGTAATAGGATCTTCTGTGGAACCTAAACATTTAATTAATTAGATTAAAGTAACTAATAAACCAGTTTAAATTTATTGAAGTATGTGTTTATATGCAGTTTTTTTGGCATAAATTAAAAGTTACATAAGTAAACTAAGTCAACATCAACTGAAGAATAAACAGTATTCAAGGATCATTGAGCAACTGATTCCATAAAGTTTAAGACAACTCAGTAGTAAGAAATACTATGTTAAATAGAAGTATTCGAATTAATATGTTAACTAAGGATTCCCGAAATAGTTCAATTTATGTCAGGTAGAACTAGATGAGCACTACTAAACGTTTTATATTTGTAATTCGTAATAAGCGCGCAATCAAGTACAAAGGAGTTATTACTTAGTACAAATACCATAAATAAACAATCACATAGACGAAATCATTGAAAGCATTCAGATCACATGAAAACCAACATGATAACATTGAACTATGTAGTTGCAATATGCAACAATTTCCGGTTCATTCAGTGAGTGAATAATGTGTGCAAAGTAAGGTTTTCACTGAGAACTTCATTTCAATCTTCAACATTCACTTGATTTTCTCTTTGCATTCTGTACTTCGGAATGTCGTAGAGTGATTTGTTTATAAAAGATATATTTAGATGACGTTAGATGGTGGAAATGTAATTGTCAGTGGGAATTATGCTCTTATATGTTCTGTTGACCAACTAAATGAACGAAGAAAGTGATCGAAGATCTTAGATAGATTTTTTTATTGAACATTGATAACAGGAGGGTTATGTTAACACGTTTAGAATATACACAAATCCTATTTATTTTTCCATCAGCAACAACCTACTATGGGAGAGAACAAATCAACATCCAACTGAAGAGGAAATTAGAAAAATATGCTGGAAATCGATAGCCCAAACATTGAGGAAATCATTAAACTGTATCACAAGACAAGCGATAACTTAGAATCCTGAAGGGAAACGAAAAAGATGGAGGTCAAACAACACACTGCGTACAGAATTAGAAGTAGATGTGACGAGCATGAATAGCAACTGGATAGGATTGTCCAGGACAGAGTTGAAAAGAGAATCCTGATGAACTGCCTATGCTCCTCTATGAGGTAAAACAGGCGTAAGTATGTAAGTCAGTTAATTATCTTTGTGTGTGTGTTTTCTTTGGTCATGAATTCGTATTTTGTTTCATCAGTAAACGATAGAAAGTTACATATTAAATTAAAGTTTGTAAATAGGATCATGTTTTCTGGTTTCATATATCTAATATTCTGTTAAAATTATTGACATATAACAAGGATTTACTTAAACTGGAATTTGGACAATAATCAATAATGAATAGTTGTGATTTAGCCAAAATATTATTTTCCGTTCAACATTCAATGTTTGAACTTTGAATCATTTACATCTATCAAGAGAATAATTGATATATAGTTGCTATGACATTAATCACAATTGAAACTCATTGAAAAGATGTATCCATATGAAAACAGATATCGATTATTATCAGAAGGAGTTTTGTGGAGATTTTAATTACTTTTATAGTTGGATTCATTTGTCAATTGAAGCTAGACAACAATGGAAAACCTAGAAGCATTGGACAGTGTTATATCCTGATGAGAATAATGAATGGTAACTGTTGGAATCCATTTATGAGCCAATACTATACACTATGGAAACTTCTTCGACACTACGGCGTGCCTCAGAAGATAGTCAATATCATACAGAACTCATATGATGGATTACACTGCAAAATTGTGCATGGAGGACAGTTGACAAAGTCGTTCGAAGTGAAGACCGGTGTTAGGCAAGGTTGCTTACTCTCATCCTTTCTCTTTCTCCTGGTGATCGAATGGATCATGAAGATGTCAACGTCTGAGGGGAAGCGCGGAATACAATGGACATCTAGGATGCAGTTGGATGATCTAGACTTCGCAGACGATCTGGCCCTTCTATCCCAAACGCAACAACAGATGCAAGAGAAGACGAACAGTGTGGCAGCAGCCTCAGCAGCAGTAGGTCTCAATATACACAAAGGGAAAAGCAGCATTCTCCGATACAACACAGCATGCACCAATCCAATCACAATTGACGGAGAAGATTTGGAAGATGTGAAAACTTTTACATATCTGGGCAGCATCTTTGATGAACAGGGTGGATCTGATGCAGATGTGAAGGCGCGGATCGGCAAAGCAAGAGCACCATATTTACAACTGAAGAACATCTGGAACTCAAAGCAACTGTCAACCAATACAAAGGTCAGGATTTTCAATACAAATGTGAATACACTTCTTCTGTATGGGGCAGAAACCTGGAGAACTACGAACGCCATCATCCAGAAAATACAGGTGTTTATCAACAATTGTCTACGCAAAGTACTTCAGATCTATCGGCCAGACACTATTAGCAACAACGTACTGTGGGGGAGAACAAACCAGATCCCAGCGGAGGAAGAAATTAGGAAGAAGCTCTGGAAGTGGATAGGACACACATTGAGGAAAGCACCCAACTGCGTCACAAGACAAGTTCTCACATGGAATCTTGAGGGCCAAAGGAAAAGAGGAAGACCAAAGAACACATCACGCCGGGAAATGGAGATAGACATGAGAAAAATGAATAAGAATTGGATGGAACTAGAAAAGAAGGCCCAGGACAGAGTGGGTTGGAGAATGCTGGTCGGCGGCCTATGCTCCATTAGGAGTAACAGGCGTAAGTAAGTAAGTAAGTAACTATACGTATATTATTATAATTGTTAAGTAGGTAAACTGCATATTTGTGTTCCTCTTATAATAAGCTGTATTTTGATCTATGAACTATTATTATACGATTTACCATTCTTAAGTTATGCCCAGCCTATAAATTACGATCTCCCACATTCACAGTCACATTTGGTTAAATCTTGTACAAATTTGTTTCCTATTTTATGGTACGATGTGATCTGTCTGGTTGGTGTATAAACCCAGTATGTTTGAAATTAATGATTCATATTCCAGAGGCTGGGATTTGTGTTCTGGACTTAACAGGCAGGGCTCGGCAGAAAGAATGACTGATAAGTACTCTAGACTGCTCGTACGGGTTATATGCATCATTGGTCCAATCGATAAACCACTGTTCTTTAATTGGTGGTACTACCACGTTATACATTAATGAGTACACAGAGCACAAGAGATAACAGACAGCCGTTTCGTCCTGTTATGGAACTCCTCAGCAGTGCGCCTCCACGATCCCGTCTCGCAAGATTCGAAATCAGGATCTATTAGCGTCGTGCGTGAACGCTTAATCTCGAAACCACTGAGCCTGTCGGAGTCCAACAGTGTTAATGTCTAAATTCAACTAATCCATGAAGTTGAGCCACTCATCCACCATTGTGTGCAGTGAGTTACTATCTCACAACAGACTCGGTTGAACTCCACTGGTCATGGCCTCTCACCAGAACTTCAGGAAATACCTCTTGAAGCCAGTCACTAGTGAGCATATGACGATTATTGTCAGAAGGGGTTTTGTGTAGATTTTAGTAGATGGCGATTAGATAGAAATTTAGTATTTGAAATGCATTGATCAGTGTACAATTAATATATGATGAGTGTATTTTTAATTTGAGTCGTTTTGGTGTTTTGCTGTTTAATAAATCTTCACTTGTACCAGTCTTGGTGTTCCCACTTCGAGTTGTGGGAATTGTAATAGCTCCTTGTTTTTGAAGTAAAAGTATTAAACGACACAGATATAATAAGTTAATTCTATCTCAGTGAAAACACTTTAAAGGATGAATTACCTTAAAAGCTGTGGTTGACTGGATTATGAAGACCTTGACATCTGAGGGGAAGCATGTAATACAATGAACAGCTTGTATGCAACTCGATGATTTGAAATCCTCACATGACCTAACACGTCTATTCCATACACACGAACAAATGCAGATGAAGACAACTGGTGTAGTGACAGCCTCTGCATCAGTTTGCCTCAACATACACAAAGCAAAATGCAAGATCCTCAAATACAACACGGAGAACAATCCTATCACACTTGATGGAGAAACTCTGGATGAGGTCACAAATTCCACATATTTGAGTAGCGTCATCGATGAACAATGTGGATCGGATGCAGATGTGAATGCACGAATTTGAAAGGCACGGACAGCATCCCCACAACTGAAGAACATATGGGACTCAAAATAACTGTCAGCCAACGTCAAATTCAGAATTTGCAATACGAATGAGAATTCATTGAGTTCTATTGTGCGGATCTGAAGCTTTGCGAACTACTACAACCATCATCGAAATTGTACAAGGACTTATAAACAATTGTCTACTCAAGATACTCAATATCCTTTGATCGGATAACATCAGCAACATCGTACTGATGGAGAAAACAATTCAATTTCTATCTGAAGAGGAAACTGTAGAGAGACGTCGAGAAAATCATTAAAGTGGGTCACGATGTGGAATTCTGAAGGGAAACGGAAAAGAGGAAGGCCAAAGAACACATTACATTGAGGATTGGAAGCTGATACCAAAGAGATGAATAGCATCTGAAAACAGCCGGAAAGCAGAGCTCACAACAGAGTTGATTAGAGACTCATGCTCATTCACAAGGGATAACAGTCATAAATATGTAAGTAGCACCAAAACTAGTAATACTACTGTCAAAAAATTAACTGGAAAAAGTAGTATTTAATACATTCACGATTATTCCACTAATAATCATTTATTTCTTAAATTTTTGATTTAGACTGTAAGATTATCGGAATAGCTGTCCGGGTCAACATTTCATTTGGAATCACTGACGTATGTTACTAAACCATTTCATACTAACAAGAAACAACATTTCAGCCACTTTATGAGAATTATATATATGAAATTATTACAAATGTTTCAGAGAAATCAAACAGTAAGTTTAATAGAATATCACAACTAAAACGTACTGTCTTCTTGCGCTTGACCAACTGAAATGGGAAGAAAAAAAAAGGTAAATTGTTAATATTGTGGTGTATGCTATTTATGCTTACAGATTTAAGTAGTATGTAGCTGTAATAGAAAGTGAAATGCCTGACAGCAGAAGATCAAAATAGAGAAAGCAGAAAGGAAATCGATGAGAAATCAAAATAACAACAGAATTAGAAGAATAATGGTGTATGTAAAGGAGAACGTAAATATGTACTTGTATAAGTTTCATATTTTACTAATCTACTGCAAGATTTAGTACCTTGACGTTTCTCACCTTAGTTCTCGTTCACCACAGTAATAGTTCTACTTTCTGAAACGTTCTCTTTACAAACATTTTATCTTAATTTTCTATATACACAGTGATATCTCTAAATAAAGACTTATATACAATCAGTATAACTTCTATAACCTAAATAGATCTAAGAGAAATATGATGGAGAAGATTTTGACAAAGTTTTGTTCTCTGAGCTCGATGGTTTAGTTGTGGAGGTAAAAGTCTGTACTGATGATGTAGTTCAGAAGAGTGATGGAAAATCTACGACCAAATCATCCAGTTCAAAGAACAAAACTTTATCTAAAAGTAATATCTTGATATCATAGACAAATTCAAAATCTCTCTTCAATACAGTTGATGCGAGAAATTAGCAACAACGTACTGTGAGAAAGAACAAACCAGATCCCAGCGGAGGAAGAAATTAGGAAGAAGCTCTGGAAGTGGATAGGACACACATTGAGGAAAGCACCCAACTGCGTCGCAAGACAAGCCCTCACATGGAATCCTGAAGGCCAAAGGAGAAGAGGAAGACCAAAGAAAACATTACGCTGTGAAATGGAGTTAGACATGAGAAAAATGAACAAGAATTGAATGGAACTAGAAAAGAAGGCCCAGGACAGAGTGGGTTGGAGAATGCTGGTCGGCGGCCTATGCTCCATTAGGAGTAACAGACGTAGGTAAGTAATGATAAATATTTTACAACTTTACATCATTAGATGTCGAAATCGGTACTTTACTAGTTCAGATTTCATATGGAATTAATTTTCCATGTTAAAGAAAGAATTAATTTAAAACTTGTAGATTAATTGAAGAAGAATTGGCTTCTATAAAAAGTAAACATTGAAGATCTTCTCCAAAATAACACTGACAACTCCATGCTTCAGCTACTCATCTCAGAGAATTTAATAGTATCAAAAATATTAAAAGGATGCTGTAGTAAACGAGAATACAAATAAGGACAATCGATTGTAATTCAACACATAAATTACAGGACGTCTTTGTAAAATCTGAGAACTATATAGTAAATAGTTTATGTGCAATCATTGCTTGTTCTTGTTCTCTTTTCTCCGATCTTAACCTTCTACCGCCAAGCATTTTACTTTCGATTCCATGATACATACTACTTATATATATCGACGTCAGTAGCACACACCATAATGCAACTGACTAGTTCTAAACTTATAAATAATGATGAAAACAATTTTAGTTAATTATTTACCATATTTTATTTGATATTTTGAGCGAAAGATACAATATTCGAGTTTCTCTTTAAAAACTACCATTAGGGTACAAGTATCTCCGGCTGAAGAGACCAAAATAGGATAAAACAAGCATCTTGAATCTAACTACTATCTATGGTCTAACTTTAGTAAATCCTTGTGACCAAAATAACTATTTCATGGCCATAAGCTCAGAATACATACATATATATTGCCAAAGAAGTTGGATAATTAACATCAACAAATACAGACTCTTCAAAATAATATTCTGTTACTGAGTCCTGATAATCATTTTCGTTGAACTATTTTCTTAAAATTTCGGTCCATTTTATCTTTCTTCAAGTCGTTATGTAATTCTCTGGTATATATATGTATATCATACGGATTATCACTGATGATCGCCCTTAAATACCCTGGTAAGGTTGAGGGTGGGGAAATTCTGCACATCCTCTCGAAACGCTCTCACATGGCTATTCGAATACAACCACAACCAACGAAGTCCTACTCACTGAATTCTTGTGGCGACGGTGTTGTTTACAAAATTAAAAGAATGTAAAGAGAATGTCCGGTGCTTTAACCGGACTAGTGGATGTGGAGAATCAATCTGGTAGAGTTGGAAAACCGCGATTCCAAACCAATGGTGCACATTTACTCCATGATCCTGAAGGAACAAATAGCGTATGAACCAATTATTGTTCACCGGCTACCATGGGTCTGTACCTTTTAACATTGTTCCATTGCCTTGTAAACTAGATCTCTGGGTCAAAGGTACAGAGTGACCCTCTAAGAAAGCAACTTGCTACGGTTTGGGCAGCCAAGTAGTATTCTAGACCTTATACAAATTGAATGATAAAGTGTGGCGCATATCTGTTTAGTGCCTCCTTGTACCGATGTTCATATGTTTAAATGAATTATATAAATAAATAAACCAATTATTATCTAATTAACTAAACATTCATCTCTTTAGTTATTCCAATATCAATCATGATTAAGTTTGATTGAAGAGTATTCAGTTTAGTGAAACGAAATTAAAAAGAAGCAAAAGAAGAACAAAAAAATATGACAAAAAAATAATTGGGTGAAACTATAATTTATGGACGACCTTTGGGCGACGCTAACATAACCTTGAGAGTGTCTACCTACTCACTAGGGCTAAGTAAGGGTTATAAAGCAGTTTGAAAAATAAGGGTTATGATTTATAGTTGATGGTTAGAGTTAGGAATTAGATTTACGGTTTTTCATCACGAAATGACATCAACTATCATACCAGGATTCCATTTAATCAAATGAGTGAATAAATTTCGCGCCAAAAATACAAGACCTATTATCGTAAATCTGATTGATTCGTCCATAAATTATAGTCTCATCAATCATTGATTATCAGATGATTAAATTGACTCACTTTTCCCATTTAAATTGAGATTTAATAAACACCAGATAATACACCAACTGTAAATGATGTCCATCTTGATAATGGATGTTAATTACAATAATCAAATATAATTTGTATTATATAATCACATATTCACTTAGATTACATAACACTATTTATTATAAGAAATACCCAATTATGTGTGTAGAGTTTGTGCATCTATGTATATATATGTAATATTATCTGTAGTATGTAATAAACGACAAACACAGTCAATTTATTTGTAGGATAGAAACAATCAAAGAAACTGATTTATTGAATACTCATAAATTGGAATAATTTATATGTGGGTGTTTTAAATATGTGAATTTGTCACAAAATTCATTTTTTCAGTATTTAGTGTAGGTTAAGATCATGAGTCTGTTGAAGTTAGATCACCATGGAAAACCTGGAAGCACTGGATGGCCGTTTCGTCCCACTATGGGACTCCTCAGCAATGCACATCCACGACCTCGCCCCTGCAATATTCGAACCCAGGACCTACTGATTTCGAGCGCGAGCACTTAACCACTAGACCACTGAGCCAGTCGGCATCCAGCGGTATTGATGTCTAACTTTAACTAATCCACGAAATTGAGGTATATCCTGGTGTTCTAGTGAGAAGTTGTGACGAGTGGAGTTCAATGGTGTCTGTTGTGAAATAGTAACTCACTGAAGACAATGGTGGATGTGTTGCTCAATTTCGTGGATTAGTTGAAGTTAGACATTAACGCTGCTGAACGCCGGCTCAGTGGTCTAGTGCTTAAGCGTTCGTGCGCAAGACCGAAGGCTCTGGATTCGAAACCTGAGAGCAGGTTTGTGTATGCGCACTACTGAGGAGTCTCACAATAGGAAGAAACGGCCGTTCAGTGCTTTCAGGTCTCCCATGGTGGTCTAGCTTCAATCGGTTCATGATCTCAATCAAAAACTCAATAATCTCCACAACCCCATAATGACAATTTTCGGATTCATTAATTTATAAATATCTACACATCGGAACATTTTTAAAAAATAGTTAATCTATATTTATCTCTGTTTATTGTTAATCTTTACTAATATGATACAAAGTATGTACATTCTGTTTTAAACAATCAACTATATTAATTCATTTGAATCGGTTGTTTGAATCTTCCCATTGATTGTTTACGACTGGGATGCTTGAGACTATGAATGATACTGAGACAATCTATTCAGTGACTGATCGAATGAACTTCTAAACTATGTGAAGATTTAAATAATTGATATAAAGGAATTAAATTTCACTTCATTACACAAGCTAGTGGCTATCTGGACTCAGTACCTAAGTAAATAGCGCCATGGTTTTTGAAGAGAACGCTAACAGGTTCGAGTTTCGAAGCGAACACCAACTCTGTAATGCAGATAAATCCAACTGATGAGTCCTAGATTCCATTTTTAGCGACCATCCAACTCTGATCATAATCAGTTACATTGTTTACTGGTTGTTCTTCCTTAAGTTAAATATCACAATGCAAAAAAATTGTGTAGAGAAGTTTCATGTTTTTGAGCTGAGCGTTTGACAAAAGTAGTTTCCACAGTTCATTCGACTCCATAGAATACATCTGAGTGATATTCATGCGCACATTAATGACTAGTTTCGCTACTGATTTTATGAAGTCTTATAAAGAATCAGTGGCTAGTTATGAGTCCAAAATTTTAATAAATCCCAAGCAAGAATAAAAGAACTACTCAGTAATCTCGAGTTTATAATATCCTCTATCTTATAAATTACTTACTTACTTACGCCTGTTACTCCTCGTGAAGGAGCATAGGCTACTCACCACCATTCTCCATCCAACACTATCCTGGCCAATCCTTTACAGCTCCTTCCAGTTCTTATTCATCCTTGTCATATCCGATTGTATTTTCCAACGTTATGTGTGCTTTGGCCTTCCTCGTTTCCGTTTCCCTTCACAATTCCAAGTTAGGGATTGTCTCCTGACGCAGTTTGATGATTTGTGTAATGTATGTCCTATCCATTTCCATCGTCTTCTCCTAATTTCTTCTTCATCGGGAAGCTAGTTTGTTCTCTCCCACAAAAGGCTGTTGCTGATGGTATCCGGCCAATGGATGTTGAGTATCTTGAGTAAACGACTATTTATAAATACTTGTACCTTCTTGATGATGGTTGTTGTAGTTCTCCAAGTTTCAGCTCCATACAGTAGAACTGACTCTCTTGACGTTCGTATTGAAGATTCTCACTTTGATATTGGTTGAAAGTTGTTTTGAGTTGCATATGTTCTTGAATTGTAGGAATGCGGCCCTTTATTTGCCGATCCTCGCCTTTACGTCTGCATCTGAACCTCCTTATTCATCGATGATGCTTCCCAGGTATGTGAAGGATTTTACATCTTCCAGAGTTTCGCCATCAAGAGTGATTGGATTGCTGTTCTCCGCCTGTAGCTCTTCTAGAGTTACTGCCGGTCCCAAGCCCGGGTAAAGGAGGAGGGTTGGGCATGGGGTTAGCGTCCCCATCTCGTAGAAAACTAACTCGCTAAAAAAACGCTTACCAGAAAAAAATATCTCATAGCAACTCAATCAGATCTGTATTTATTTAGTATGTTATATATTCGAAAGAATCGGTAGTTCAGTTTATTACACTTTCAATTTCTACGACTTCATTAATTTTATACGTTCACTTTGACCTCAGAGTATAAATAATTAAGTATTGAAACACCATATGTATCGCTGTTCAATGAAAATTAGTTTGTTCATACATACTAGGGGTCTTATGTCATTTTAATTATGATATATATTGGTATGATATGGTGTAAAACATCTAGTTTTTGTGATATTTGCTTTTGAGTATATGAAATCTTAGAAGGCCGGCTAATCAGCGAAGAATATAAACTAGCCTAGTTGATAAGGACCAACCAGTCAAGGAATTAGAAAGCAAGCCAATCACTGAGATTCAGGATCAGAGGAACAAGTAGGTAGAAAACTTTGAGGAATTCTTGAACAGACCTGCCCCATTTAAACTAACCGGACATATAAACAGCACACACATACCTCCTTATAGATGTCACCTCACCAGTTATCATTGAAATCAGAACGGACATCAGACATAGCAACAGTGGGAAATCAGCAGGACCTGAAAACCTCATGGAGCATTCTTCAACAATATGGTTTAGCTGAAATGATCGTCAACATAATCCGGAATTTATACGATGGACTGCAGTGCAAAGTAATGCATGAATGACAGCTAACAGATGTATTTTGTGTGAGGGTCGTTGTCAGAAAATGCTGCTTACTTTCACCCTTTCTATTTCTTCTCGTGATCGAATGAGTTATGAAGACCTCGACATCTGAGGGGAAGCATGGAACACAATGAACAGCTTGCATGCAACTCGATGATTTGAAGTCCTCACATGACCTAACACGTCTATTCCATACACACGAACAAATGCAGATGAAGACAACTGGTGTAGTGACAGCCTCTGCATCAGTTTGCCTCAACATACACAAAGGAAAATGCAAGATCCTCAAATACAACACGGAGAACAATCCTATCACACTTGATGGAGAAACTCTAGAAGAGGTCACAAATTCCACATATTTGAGTAGCGTCATCGATGAACAATGTGGATCGGATGTAGATGTGAATGCACGAATTTGAAAGGCACGGACAGCATCCCCACAACTGAAGAACATATGGGACTCAAAATAACTGTCAGCCAACGTCAAATTCAGAATTTGCAATACGAATGAGAATTCATTGAGTTCTATTGTGCGGATCTGAAGCTTTGCGAACTACTACAACCATCATCAAAATTGTACAAGGACTTATAAACAATTGTCTACTCAAGATACTCAATATCCTTTGATCGGATAACATCAGCAACATCGTACTGATGGAGAAAACAATTCAATTTCTATCTGAAGAGGAAATTATAGAGAGACTTTGAGAAAATCATTAAAATGGATCACTATGTGAGCGCTTATTTGGAATTCTGAAGGGAAACGGAAAAGAGGAATGCCAAAGAACACACTGCACTGAGAGTTGGAAGTAGACATCAGAAGAATGAACAGCAACTGTAAACTACTGGAAGGCGTTGCTCAGAATAGAGTTCAATGGCGTATCTTTTTGGGCAGCCAATGCTGCCCCACGAGGAGTAACAGGGTTAAGTAAGTAGGTACGTATTAAGTACCAACTAATGCAGAACATAGTTTCTGGGCATTTCAATGATTGCGTCGAACCATTTAACATCTAAATATAGTAAGCTTGTCACTCAGTAACTATGACTATTGACCACAGGGATTCGGTTAGTACTGATGACTAGATGAACAAGGTATTTGTTACATCTGTTCAATGATCAATCACTTTCGTCCACGCTGTTATTCTAAGCAGCGCATCAGTAAATATCATCTAGTTTTGAGTATCGTGGAAATTACACACGATCAATGTCAAGCCACCACTGAAAACCTGGGAGCACTGAACAGTCATTCCGTTATAATATGCGACTCTTCGATAGTGCACATCCTTGCACAAACACATGAGAATCGAACACACTACATTCAAGCTTGGGGGCAAATACCTAATTTATATACCACCGAGTCAGTGCCCAACAGTGTCAATGTCGAACTTTAATTAATCCACAGTACTGCGCTATCATCTTCTATTGTTTTTGGTGGGTAACTGCTTCACAGCTGACAAGGTTTATCTACATTGGTCAAGGCTTCTCACTTGAACTCCAGAAATAACAATAATTAACCAGTCTCTTTTGGCATATGTAAGACCTCAGCTAGTTGATTCAATGTTTCCATCAGTCAAAAGGATAGTTAAGTAGATTTAGATAATGACCACCAATGGGATCTATGATACACATCTTGGAACTGGTTAGTTCGATTTACCTACACTTAATATCAATGTTCACTTCAGATATCACTGTAGTGCTTCGAAATTGGAAACTAATATAATTTGTAAAACTCAAAATAAGATTATGAGAAATGATTTCAGAAACGAAAAAAAAATTATTTCACTTTCAAATTACGTCGTTTTCAAATGAAAAGTACACTTGTTTTTTCATATTGATTTTTACAAATTCATTTAATAACGCATATATTGGATACCACATAGAGTTACTATAAACTAATAACACACGGCACATATCATGATGAAGGAACTTCACATTAAAACGAGTATTTTCTTGAAAAAAAGTCAATATTGACTCATGATCTAAACTACTAAAATGATCATAATATCTA